AACTGGACCGCCATTTGTTTTCTCTTGAGCCGGAAGTGAAGGTCGGCCCCTGAGCCTGTGCATGTGGGGTTGGGACAGACGAAGGCCACGCCCCATGGTCGTTTGAACGTCCCAAGTGCGTACACGGCATGATTCACCCTGCCATCGATAGCCCGGTATGTGAGGTGAACCCCAGTATGCTTCAGGGATGAGGAATCGGATTTGAAGGCATCTAAGAAGGCCTCTGCGACGGGTGCCTCACGGACCACGAACATTTTCCGTATAAACGCCAGGATCTGGATTCCCACCAGTTGCGGGATGAATCCTCCCGCCACAAATCCGACGACGAAGTCAAAGTGTTTGCTGCACCATCCTGAGTCAGACGTGAATCAAACCGGTCCCAATCGCACGCACGCACCTTTGAACGAGATTTTCTATCTCGTGCATTCTTTCTGGGACCGTGACGGCATCACCACAGGAAAAAAGGACGAGGCCTCGCGTGGCCGTCAGTAGGGGAAGTTGGTTGTACATTGGCCCGAGCACTTTGGATACGACCTGCATGCTGGAGATCAGTCCCAATGCATGCCCGCGAACGTCCAAAAAGCCCACTTACCTCGGGCACGCTCGCCACATAGTTTTGACCGCGACCGGTGCGACCATAGGCGACGTATCCTGTCGCCGGATCGGTGTGTGTCTCGAGCGAGACCAGAACCATGGGAGCTGACGCCCTGTTACTCGCCAACCATGCGCTCGCCAATGCGGTCGAGTTGGTCAGGCTCCAACCGAGGCCTTCAGCCGTCAGTCGCACGCTGTAGTCGTGCAGCTACCGCCCGGATCAGTTGGAGGTCTGACACATGAAATCCAGCGAGGGCGCTTACCAGGAGAGGGATCTGGCCGTAGTCCTGTCTCAGCTGAGTGCGAGCCAGACTACCGAAGTACATCTCGCGATCAAAGTGCGCCGTGATCAGGCACAGCGGTGCCAGCTGCGCGGCGAAGTACGTTCCTGGCACCACGTATGCAGTGAGGCGGTACTGGAGCGATCATCAACAGACGAGGGGGAGGTGTACGCACGTCTACTTACATCGAGGGGCTCACGGGCCCGGTGCCGACAGACGGGGCACACAAAACTCTCACTGTCAATGAGGTTGGAGCCGTCCTGGATGCAGTCTGTTTGCGTCCCGTAGCAAAGGGTGGCATGGCAGCGACAGCACTCCAGGAGGGTTCCGGTGCTCCCACAATAGGCACAGACCTGCGTTGGTTGTTCATCATCGACCCCGTTCTGTGTATGTGTGGGAGCAAACTTACCGCTCCGTCCTTTTCTTCCTGAAGCTCCTGAATACCTGAGTCCCTGCACCCAACCAACTTTTCAGAGCTGGGCTCCCCCAGAGGGTTGCGCCGGCTTCATGGACACCGGAGGGTCGAAATCTGTAGCGGTGTAGGTCGACATCGTGTGGCTTGGGAGATGATCGGGTGAGAGTTGGATGGAGGCAAACGCATCAAACGCCTGATTGCGGCGAGTTGAAGTGCGCCATATATGGCAAGTGGGGACCCCCCGATCAATCGTGAGATCCAATCGCCCAAAGCCACACTTGGTGGGCGCTTCCACTCTTGCCTGTTAACATTCAACTCTGCTTTCGTTTCCGCCCTGCCCTCTCTTGCTCTCGCTTCTCCTCCACCGACGCAGTCTGTTGAGGTATGCGACCATACTCGTACCATCTTGTGCACCTCACTGACTTGCAGCAGGCAGGAAAATTGACTGCGACTTGGGTGCAGGGAGCGCACCGCCCACCAGATCCATGACCAATACAAGGCCGGAACAGGGGATGGGACGGTCAGGAAGTCAGGTCGAGGCCGAGGAGCGCATAGAGGCAGCGCTGGACGCCGTGTCTGTTGGGACCAATGCGACCAGTGTGATAGGTGGGGTACCGGCAGGAGCGGCAGACGATATGGATCTCGGGAGCGACGGGGAGGCGCTGGAGGAGAATAATGAGGAGTCTATCGAGCCAGACGGTGGTGAGCAGCGCCAAAACATGGTCGCAGACGACGAGGAGGTTCCAAGTGAGGAGGAGGCCCAAGGTGAGGACAATCGAGCTGAGGGAGACCGAAGCAAGGAGGACGAAAGCAGGGTGGTCCAAGGTTCGGAGGATGAAGCCCAGGAGCACCCCAGCCAGGAGGACCGAGAGGAGGACGGTCTAGGGGAGGACGTGCAAGAGGAACAGGTTCGAAAGCTGGAGCCCGGAACCGATGAGAGCGAGGACAAGGGGCTAGGGAACGGGAAGGGAGAGGAGGACCAGGGATTGGTCCTGGATGAGACGGTTGTGAGTGAACTGGCAGACGCGTTGAGCACTTGGAGCACGATGCTCCCCTCTCGACGCTCCAAATACAGCGACGGACGCTTGAAGCCGGGCATGTGCTGGTCCGTGGATGTAGACGCACAAGAGACGTGTCGCACTGTCTTGCGCAACCGTGGGGACGATGTAGTGTTGTTGGCAAATCAGCGCCAGCTTGCCACCTGGCACGCGCCAGGGGTGGTGATTGGGACGGCCCCCATGAGGAGGAACCCGCCAAACTTGGCAGGCGGGTTCCTCAACTCCAACGCCTGCTGGAGCGCAGTTGCAAGAACATCAGGGCTCGCCTGCGCCGAGCTGGACTCCATGGCACAGAGTTCCGTGTCGTGCAACATACACTAGAGATGCTTCAGACACATCCTACAAATCTCGAACTCGGTGCCAGGTACTCACATAATCAAATATCTCACCGAAGTGATCCTTTTCCAGGCATATCACCGAGACATGATTCAGCGCAGGGCACTCAGCGCACTCGCGCGACTTGCTCCATGCGTCTTCGACGCAGCAGTCGAGGTTCTTCCCGAGGATCTTGACGAGGCGCGAGTCAACACGGGTAGGGGTGGGCGGCATAGAGGCTGAAAGTGATGTGGAAGCGCAAAAAAGCATGTTGAAGTGTGATTTGGGAGGAGAACTGGAAAAGTCGCCGCAACCCTTCTCAACTTCCCACACTTAGGCGCCCAAGCCGGGCCGGGTCCATGTGCGGAACGCGGCCACCTTTCTCATCGCTGGTCTCCGTGCCCGTGGTGGTGGGACTTGAACGGGCGCCGGTGGGCCGGGAACAGGGGCACTGGGTACTGGGTCGGGCGGGCTGATGCGAGTGGTGGCGAGGTGGGGACGGCGATCTCTCTGCGTTCCTTTGACCATCGCGCTGCTCTTGCTCCTCGTCCTCGAGGATCCCCATAGTACCCGTCGGCTGTGGCATCCCCGGCCGACCGAGTTCATCTCTCCGCCACCTCCACTCTACGTCGTCCGAGTCTCATCTTGATGCTTCGAGCGGTTGTTCCACTGCAGCTGCACCATCTGCTTAGGGTTAGGCTGGATGTAGGGCTCACGGAACCACTGACACCATTTCAAAGGGAGATAACCTAAACCGACAGCGTCAGCAACGTTGAGAGATCATCCGGGGCCACACCATAGTTGAGGTCCGACTTCTCTGCTACGACGGGCACGACAGTCAGATGCATCACGGCAGCTTCTGTGAGATTAAAGACGTCGCCGCGAAGTTCGGGCTGCTCTTCAACGAATGCGTCTGCAACTCGCTCGTTGAGAATTCATGCGCCGTTGGACAAATGAGACCACCGAAGATGATGATGACGAAAACGACACAACCGCAGACGAACCAGATGAGCATGTTGAGCGCCAGCTTCTCTCGCCGCGCTTGTTGGATGTCAGGACGCTTCCTCCGACCGACCCATGCTAGCAGGCAGCGCAGGGACTTCCTCTCGTCAAAGTCATCGTACATGTCCCCGCGCTGGAACGGACTCGGAGAGGTGTTCTGCACTAGCGGCAGCTGCTGGTTAGACTGACCGAACGGATCGTTGTAACCGCCCTCATACGGAGACTCGGCGTCAGGAATCAGGTACGATGCGTGTGGATAGCCGAGAGCTCTTGGGCCGAGCCCGGCCTATGCTTCCGCATCCCGCATCTTGTTGCGCTTCTGCTTTTCGGTGTCCTTCGAGCGCAGATCGTCCGCTAGCGCATGGAACGCGCGTTGTGAGAGATAGACCTGGGATCACTGTTAGCTGAGTACAGTACGAAGTGAACTGCGACTTGCCTGGCTCATACCGAGCACGATATCCTTCTCATCAAGCCCCAACGCCGTACGTGCTTGCTCAATGTGTTCCCGCGGTTCGCCTTCGTGCGCATTGAGCACAGCGAGGTGCCCATTGTACCGATCTACGAGTTCCTCGGGTGTCATATTCGCCTCGAACATGGCCATGTTCGCCGCCGCGGACCTGGCCCTTGACCGAGCGGGCCTCGAGCTGGTTTGGGAGCTGAGAGTCGTTGGGGTTGACGCAGAACACGTACCATGACCGCATCTCCTCCAGCGTCTCGAACAGCGTATCCAACGCGGACCGGAACTCGCCCGCCACACACGGTGGCCCGCTGGCTTGTACCGCCGTACCTAGCGGCTCCTCGTCATCGCAGTCCTTCTCGGTCCTTCTCGTCGATCTCGCCGCTTTCCCTGACGGTTGGCATGCGTTTGACGGTGCCCTTCCCGCGGACGGACGGCGCGCGCTTGGGCTTCACTGGCTGCTGCGCGGACAAGATGGTGTCCTCATTGCGCGGGTGCGCCTGCGCCCCGATCGCCTTGCCGGAGTACAGGCTGCGGACGAAGGGGTTCGATGAACCCGAACCGTCCGCCGGGGGTCCCTCGCCCGCGCTCGTACTTCTGAGGAGCGAGACGAAGTCAGGGTTCAGTGCCTCAAGATTGTGCTCGAGGGAGTTCTCCGACGAATAAGCGACGGGGCCAGTGAAGTGGTTGACCGCGAACGTCGGGCAGCCCGGTCGATGGAGCCCGTCTTGAACGATGACTGGTTGCCCCACCGCTTCGTGAACGCCTCGACCATCGTATGCCTGCTCTTCTTCGGCATGCGGCGGGCCTGGTCGTCCATGATATGGATGAGGCCGCCGGGCCTGTTCTGTAGCAAGCGGAGGCATTCCGAGTTGTCAATGTAGGGTACCTGCGGTACATAGCGGGAGATTCGTTCACTATTGTACTCAACGACACGGTTCTCGAACAGTTTGCTTTGGATGAAGTTCAGCAACCGCTCGTTCACGAAGTTGACGCAGAACTGGTCGAGGGAATTACGGCCGGCTGGCGAGATTCTGAGGACCGGCTAGGTCGAACAGACCAATGAAGGTGTTGAAATCGTCGCGGCAGAGGCGCTGATTGATGTGTTCGTTGAGCCACGCAAACTGAACCGCGAGGCAACAGGGTTTGAAGAGCGTGCGTGCATTTCCGAGCGTCTCGAGGACGAACTCAGCGGCGGGGACTTGGCTGACGAGCTTCGAGCCCTTCTTCCCTGGCTGGCTCACACTGAACTCGACATTCAGTACTCGTACAGGGATCTGAGGCTACATGAACTCACCTCAGTTGCAGTCCTAGTGGTACTCAGCTTGTGAGAGGAGGTGTTTGAGTGAGTGCGCGCGGCTTCCGATCTCGCGTCGTAGCCTGTCGAGTGGCCGAGTGTATTCTGAGCACTAGAGGAAGCCGTGGCGAACCGTTGCTCGGTGGGCTCGGCATGCGGGGCACCGTGCGGTGTCAGATCGGCGAATGCGGTGGAGGTGGTAGTTCAGCGGTGCATGTCCCGTACGGAGTTGGATGAGAAGGCTCAGTCGCGTGGCGGGGACTCGTACTAGGGGCGACTCGGAGACCAGTTTGCCGGATTTCTTCGACCGTATTTATATTGGAATGCGCGATGTGTTCGAGCTCAATCTATACAATGAAGACACTACTGAAAATTAAAACGCGATGGAAACAAAGAATATGATTTGGAAGATCATGACACGGCAACTAGTGGTACACAGTGAATATTACCACTGGGCTGCAGGAGTCCTGGACGAACGCGGCTGAAAGAGTACCGCGTATGCAGAACGTTCCTTGCCCTACTGCCAGTGGTAGACCGGCCAGACGCCGTGACCGTACATCTCCCAGTTGCGCTCCCACCAGCCCGGCTCCCACCAGCCCAGCTCACGGTCCAACTCCACGTCCTCGTCCAAGGCAATGTCCTCGTCCTTCTCGTCCTCAACATCGGCCTCCATTGCGTTCTGTTTGTCGGCCCCGCCCACCAAAGTCCCATCCAAGGCCCAACGGACCAGGCACCCAGGTGCTCCCAGCGGCGGGCGGACGACAAGGTCGACGTACTTGTCCTCGCCGTCCGGCATCCGAAGGACGCTCCATTCCGCGTCCATAACCTTGCGGAGCTCTGGCACGCCAACCGGCCAGAGCCACTTGTACTCGATGAACTTGTGCTTCATCGAGCACATCGCGTCCATCGCGAACTCCCCGTTGGCACGGTCGAATAGGGCCATGGTCACCTCGACGCCGGAGACCTTGAGGATTGGGGGGCGGTGATCCGTCGCGGATCGAACTTGATGGGGAAAGCATCCTCGATCCGCGCGGGGAGAAACGATTGCATCGTGGGCTTGTATTGGTCGAAGGAAGTCCACACGTCCGGGTCCCTCGGCGATTGGTACGGGTTGAAGTACGGGAATACCTGGGCGAGCACGGGCTGCTGGGATGGCCCGGGTATGGTGCCCTTGGTCTGGAGCCAGTCCAGCACCCCTACGAGGGGGATGGAAAGGACGGGCAACGTATCCTATCCGTAGCGCATGATCGCATGTCAATATAAGTTGAGAGGAGTTTAGCAAAGAACTCACATGGACGTAGATAAGTGCCTCTACGAGCACCATGCGCCCCTGACCCACCAGGTCCTCCGGGTACGGGTCTATGAGAGGTCTCTGCGGCGTGCGTTCGCAATAGAGTTGCTCCTCAGCGGCCATGAGCAAGAACCCGCCAAACCTGGCGGGCGGGTTCTCCAACTCCAGCGCCTGCTCGAGTGCGGTTGCACGAGCCTCCTCGCTCGCCTGCTCCGAGCTGGCCTCCATGGCGCAGACTTCGGTGTCGTACAGCATACACTGGAGATGCTTGAGACACATTCGACAAATCGCTGGCTGGGTGGTACTCACATAGTCAAAGATTTGGCCGAAGTGGTCCTTCTCCAAACATATCACGGAGACGTGATTGAGTGCCGGGCACAAGGGGCACTCCCGCGACTTTCGCCAAGCGTCTTCAACGTAGCAGTCCGTGTTCCGCCCGAGGATATTCACGAGCCGCCAGTCAGCCTGAGTGGTGGGGATGGGCAGCATAGCGACTGAGAGTGCAGTGGAAGGGAGGCAAAGTGAGCTGAAGTGAGCAGTAGAACGCAAAGGTAAGAAGTTGTAAAAACCGGAGCCAACAGACCCAAAGTATTCTCAAATTCTCACACTTAAGCGCCGGCCACAGCGGGAGTTTCAAAGCCATCGTCATTCAAAGTTAGAATGGGCAGCGGCAGATCGTATAGATTAGGTACTTCTAAAATGAGCAACTTCAATATACAATTGACGTGAGTACTGGCCGCGGCCTTAATCGTGAGCAACAGTATTGGTAGGGCCTGGGCATGCTGCGCCGGTGTCTCATGGGACCCTCGGACCTGATGTCAATTTGGTGATTCTGAATGGGGCTTGGATTGCAGCTATGTGTTTGAGCAGTATAACAGACGTCAAGATATATAATGCAGGTGATCCTTGATGACACTGCATTTTGTCAAGATCCGAACAGCGGTCCTCGGAGGTCATCGCATACGTCGCGGGTGGTCGCAGCTCTAGGTATTCTCGTTCGGGCTTCTGTGAGCTGGAGAGTAGTACTACTAGAGGCTTCGAATAGTACTGTACGAACAATTAGATGGAAGCCTTGTAATGAGAAAACATCGCAATATGGACAGACCGTCGCAGAGAGGTAGACCGCGCGATCTTCGGGAGAGAGAGTATGGGAGCGAGAGGTAGTAGTGTAAGTAGTAGCGAAGTGCGGGGCGCAGCCCTCTGGGCTTGGGGACGGATGAGCTGCGATACCCAAGGTGAAGGAGCTGAGGCGATGCGTTGCGGCTCGTCCGTTACTGCCAAATGGAAGTCGACTCACCTGTCGGAACGTCGCTCGCGCGGAGCTCATTGCCGTAGCGGGGACATGGTGTAGCGCGTGATGTTGTCGAGCACTGCCGAGCTCTGGAGGTAGGGTGCGAGAATGACGGCGTGCTTGCGAAGGTAGAGTTTGAAACTCTCGCCACTCCAACGCCCGATGGATTTCACGACGTCGAAGGGGACGCCACGCAGGAGGTACTCGAGCGTCGCTCCTATGCGCAGCCCGTGGCCTTTCATGGGCGCCTCTCCCAGGAGCGCGGCGATGGTGTCCATCCGCTTGAGGAGCGCTGACTTTGACTTTGTCAGTGCGCGCGGGCCTTGTCGGTGCTTCCACGCGAACAGATGGCCTCCCCGGTCTGGTTGATTGACCCGCATGTGGCTCGCGAGGGTCTCGCCCGGGTCGAATGGCATCCCTGGTTGCGCCGCCCAGTAAACGTCCTCGCCTTCGAGTGGCGCGACCTTGGTGGTGGGCAGGTGTATGACCGTGACTTTGTAGCCATGCCGGTCCTCGTCATGCCGTACGTCCGATGGTTTGACGTGGTGGCTCGGCTGAAAGCTGTTCAGGTTTTGCTGTGTGAACTCGCCTAGCCTGGCTGCCGCGAAGAAGACAGTTGTGAGGCAAGCCCACACTGCTGCGTCGAGTGGCTCGTTCAGGTCCAGCTGCGCTTTCGCGGCCGTGAGGAAGGACGTGAGCACTGGCAAACGCTTCGGCCTCTTGGATGCAGGAGGTGCTAGGCGTTCTGCTCCTCTGAGGAGCGCTGTAAGTTCGTCGGCGTCGATTTCCCAGCGCTGGCCGTGGATTGTGTGCCATGCGTGGACGCCGGCGACGTAGTTGCGCACCGTGGCTCCACTGTAGACCCCGCAGCAGTTGGCTATGAAGGTGAGGATGGTGGAGTGGCTCGCCGGTGCGCGCTGCTCTTCCACCACCTCTCGCGCGTCGCAACAGACGTGGAAGGCTAGGAGACCGGCACCGTACGACTCGCGCGTGCCTGACCCGTACGATGAGACGGTGGCCAGGAGGATCCGCTCGATGTCGTGCTCGGTTATGTTGCCCACCTCGCGTCCGTCTGGGTCGCGCATGGATCGGGGTTTGAGGGGTCGCCATACCTGCAACCGGTCACGCGCGAGGCAGTGCGGGCGCAGCTCCGAGGGCTGTAACGTGAGTGCCTGCGGGTACGGCCGTCCGCGTCGTGTGGATGCTGTCGAGGCGAGAGGGGCAAGGTTGTCAAAACGACCCGCCTGCGTCCGGCTCGTCCCAACTGCTGTTGTTTGGGATGTGCCAGTCGAGTGTGTGATCGACCTCGCGCTGCTGCTCGTCCCGAGCGCGTTCCAGGAGGCGGTCAATGCACTTTGCCGCGGCGGCTGGGTACTTCCCGTCGCGATGAAGTCGGAGCTCGAGAGGGGTGAGGGGCTCTGTTGCGTCGACGAGGAAGCGCTCGAGTCCGGGTGGGGTTGGGATGGGAGGTAGGAGGAGACCCTCAGGCGGGTATATACCGCGAGAGGGTCCGTCGGCGGGGTTGCAAGCGCTGGGGACGTATGCGACATAAATGCACTCGGTGTTCCCTGCGCTGTGTAAGTACTCGAGTCTCTCTCCGAAAACAAGGTTGACGCTGGCGTTCCTGCTGCGCCTGTTGCGCCAACCTTCGACGACTCCGGTGTTGCCGCCGAAAAGCCGGAAGCTTTCGTCCACGCCTCGAGCGCTGGTGATGCTGATGGTGAGTAACTGGAAACCGACAGCTTCCGCCCATCCGATGTCGCGATCGCCCCCGAGGGTGCGCCATCCTGGGATGAGGCGCCAGGCTCGCCAGTGGTCGCCAACAGTGATTCCGATGCCGACGCCGGAGCTCGCGTCAGAGAAAGCAGCGAGGTCGACGAGCCGTCTGGGGTGGGGAATGGGGCGGCGAAGCGTTGATTGACGCGCACGAGTCGGACAGTGGCCACTTGGGGGCCATGGGCATGGGTGCGCTGCACGTCTGAATACCTTACAAGTTCTGCTGTTGATCAATGGGCTATAGGGACACCATGATCAGACTGCGAACATCATTCACTGGCTGTCACGAACAGCATGCGCAAATCACTGGATGCCGCATCAGTCCATGCGATGCAGGATTATATTAGATATGGTATGTATGTCATCCGAACTGCCCCTATTGATACTTATAAGTTATACTGGCAGTGACTCGGTGCGGCTGTACAGCAGAGGGCGCAGCCATTCCACCCACACGCTCTGCCAAACGAGCTGCACCCATGCAGACTCGAGCTCATTGACGACGCGTGTTTCGCATGGCTGATGGAATCTGTCGGCGATTGGTTGGTACGCGCGCACAGTACGGGGCATGGTGTGTACGTCTACAGTCTTATAAGGTGTGTAATTGACCGGGAGAGGATGAGTGGACCCTGGTATGTGGCAGATGAGCAGGATCACCGAACGTATGCGAGCTGAGACACAGTGTAAGTGCTCATCTGACAAAGCACAATTGCCGATCACCCCGGTGTAGGAAAACAGGCTGATGTAACCTATGCCGGAGCAAGTCGCAAGATTGGTATGTTGCAGGCTAATATCAGGCCATGAAGCTGGCTATATCCCTGTGGTATACAGAATGGATAAGACATGGGGGCGCACTGTATTTAACTTCAGTAGCATAGCACAGGCTTCAGCTAGTTGCTCTTGAAAGTTGGGCAACAGTCTCCATTTTGTTACCAAGCTCCTGTCCAACCTTTGCATAGTACTGTTCAGTGACACCAATATAACTACTTTGATGGATACAAGCCCTCAACCAAATCAACACTTCCCACCCTTTCTAGGGTTAGGGTTAGATAGAACAGGGGCTGGGCCAGGGTGCGCAGCGTTGAGCCAATACATCACATACACCATAAGTCCCAGTCCTAGGACCTTACACCCAGTGGTATCTACAAGGGAGGATCACCAAGGCACCCAGAGGCCCCATCTCACCGGCCGGTTAAGATGGAGCTCCTAAGATGCCAGTGGTGACCAACCCCGCCTACTTGGAACCACTAAACACATCTTGATGAACGCATCCATGGGAATGGTCTCTTAAACGTAGTCTTACAAGATGCTATTAGCCAGGAGAGAGGAAAAGGGAAACATGTGCCTACCAGTGCTGGAGACCTTGCAGATTCCTGTGCAATAGCAATTCTGCAACTGACGCCCATCTACAAAATCTGAATGAATGACAATCAGATGGCCTCATATAGCCAAACATACAGTGTGCTGTATCTGCAATCGCACAAGTGCAATGCATGCCCTCTATAAGCCAACACCCTGTAGGCGTCAGGGGAGGTCTATTAGGTCAGCAAAAAACACTACTGCTGGCAATATGAACCTGCTAACCAGAGAGGCAAACAACCAGGAGAAGGGGGAAGCTACCAAAGAAGCAACCAGGGGCAGTAGGCCAGATCATGGACCAGACCACAGCCAATCTGTACAAGGTCAGCGCCTGTGCCAATATGGAACCTATCCATACCTTCACTGAAGCGTATACCATCTTGCACATGGTCCCCTGCCAACCTCAAAGCCTGCATAGCAGTCATCAGTCCAAGACAACACGATGGGAAAAGAAGACTCTGCCATGCATGAAAGTGTTTCTCCCTAATGTTATGTCTCCTGCAGAACGTTGTAAGCCGGCTAGGTTGATGAGCAAGGACACTTACCCCCAAAACTGTGTCCAAGGAACAGGTCTTGGTCTCATACCGCAGCCCAGGCTAGTGCTTCTTCTAGGAGGATGTACGTCCCGGATGCTTATCGAGCACACAGAGGAACGCAGACCGGTGCCACGGGCACACTATGAGTCGGAGATGCACCGCATCTCCCTCCCCCAGATCCAAACACGGTTTTCGGTAGGTCGGGGAGGCCTCCCAGGACCGCCTAGAACCGGTCAGACCCTTAACCAACTTGAACCGTCCACATCGAGGAGCGACCTCTCCGCATCAGGCCCAGAGGCCAAAGAATTACACAAAGGAACCCAAACTCAAGAACTGAGCCGAGGCCCCCAGGTGGCAGTATGGGAACAACAGCGGTTGATCGGCGCTACCCAATTTTACCAAAGCATGACATAATAATTACCTTGCGACTAGCAAGGTCTCTTCGGGGGTCTAAATTCGTCGTGAGAAATTTCCGGGTTTTTTGGCCTTGTTTGTCCCGTCCCCAAATCCGGACAGACAGCGCTTAGCCACGCTGCCGCCCTCACGCTCCTCACCCACCACGAGCCCCGTTCTCGTTGGCGTCCATGCCAGCGAACACGAATATTCATTAATAGATACGACTCTCCACCACGACTTCAATCTCATGCCGCGTTCGTTTCGCCCACAACCCCGGAGCCTCAGGTGCCTTCGCCTCGCGCAAATGGGCGACCCATCCCGACCTCGGCGGCTCCTCCAATATGTAGGTCGTGCCTCACAGCGCAGAGGGTTTCCGAGTCTGTTGGGGCGCTGCAGTCGGCTCACGTACGTCGCCTTAGACAACACACCTCGGTGGCATTGACTATTAATGAAAAACCTATGTTTTACCGACAGCGAAACCCACCAGCCGGCTACGACTCGACCGGCGACGAATACGAAACCGCCGACCCAACCCTTCGATTGCGCACCGCGCGCGGCGCGCTGTTCCCGTCTGCGAGGCCGAGTAGTCAGGCTGGCTCGTAAACAAGAAGCGCGGGGCTTCATTCTGACCCTTCGGGGACGAATGCTGACCCCCCTCTTGTGAGTCAGTCTGGCCGCTGCCGCCGCCATCGGGCGCATGGAGTGCCAGTTGCTTGCCATAGCAGACCGCGCTAGGCGACCCCTCCCCGAGCAGTCTCCCCATTAATGCCAACTTGCAGCCGAGGCAGTCGCAGCCACCATACGCGGCTCCGCAGCAGCACTCCCAAGCGCAGAGCACCAACCTCCCGCCGCCCTGACCACGCCTTCACCTGCGCTGCTGCCGTGCACTGCATCGGGCAGCGCGCCAACGATGTGTAGGCCGCCGTCTTCCCTCTTCTCCCCTTAGATACATTCATTCACTATTCGATCATTGGCTATCTACGATACATGCTGTATACCACGAACATTAACTCGTGCTTTCTTTGTCTCGTCATGAGCACCTTGGAATATACGAATAGTTTGGCGTCCCGAACTGCGCGACAACGCCACGTACAAATTGAACAAGCTCAGCCGTCCTGCAGGCGGCTTTGCTATGTCAACAATAACATAGGGTATTGTTTGCCCTTGTGATCGATAATCCGTGAATGCATACGCTGCGGTTATGGGGAGTTGGCGCCGCCGGACCACCTTCCTCAGTCGCTGTCTCTCTTGATCGCCGCTTTCGACCTCTATGTTGAATGTTTGCTCCACCGTTTCAATGGGAATCTCGCACTCGTCCAGTCCATCCAGTGTCGCCAGCTTCGTGCGCTCCAATCGAACAACAATGTAGGCAGGAGGCCTCGTTAACGGTACGACTGCGACATCGGGAACAGGGGGGTTGTCTGGATGTAAGACGATCTTGGTGATCTCTCCCCTAACACAGTGACTGAGAGTCGTGCACCTCACGGACGACATGACCACTCTAGCGGATGTCTACTACAGTCCAGCCTATCCGAATGGTAATGTACATTTTATCTATGTATCTTTTCATGTGAACTAACGAAGGAGGTAAGATGGCGAGAAGGTAGCACAATCCTTATGGCCGTCACAGATCAGATGTTATATGCGCAATGTCGAACCACTCAACCGGCTCCCACTGTCCCAACACATCGTAGGGTGCCGGGGATGTTCCAAGATTTCGACGGCTGGGCTGAACTTGTTACTGAGGGCGACAACACCGACTCCGAGGAGACACGCGACAACGCAAGACTCATCCACAAACGAGTCCCTTTGTCTCTTCGATCACCCTACTTAATTGGACACCCTGCATGATGTGCATCTACAGTGTTCCTAAGTATCACTGGATTCATCACTCAATCTGTGTTACATGCAGTGGGTGGTTGGAACGGGTACGGCTATCTCTGCACGTGTAGTAATGCGCTCTGACGAACTAACCTGCGCAGGCACGAAGAAGACATTTGATACGCACGTCAGAGATTATGCATTAATAGCGGCCCTTATTCCGAGCCAATCCGCATCCAAGGGTGGCGCTGCAATCTATCACAGATTCTTTCGCACCAAGGTGTTCATTTAACATGCATGTCGAGCACCGCCCGTGACCAAGGAAGTCGCAATAGACAGATATCCATTCATTCCGGTAAGATTGTATGTCTGATTGGGATTCTGTCGCATCCATTGACTTTGGCTTCACATGCAAGGCGACTGACGGCACAATGCCAGTCTCCGTATTAACGACGAAAGACAAGCATTATGCGGAAGCGTGTGCCATCTCAAGTCGCTGGCAGATCACTCAAAGATTACCTGCCTGGGAACACGATCGCCGAACGGGCACGCTGGTTTCTTGCGACCCAACAAGATTTCAGGAAGGCGATCGCGTTGAGGTGTTTGTGACACCAGCTATACGTTTTAGAAATGAGTGCTATTTCACGATGCTTGGTATTATACGACTAGCTACCGCGAAACGATTGCGACGGAGGCACTGGCAGACGTACAACGAGAACAGATCTACTTACCCTTGTGCCGTTCAACGAGCCAATTTACATTAGAACTGCTTCCCATCTTGTTCAGTCATGTAAACCATTCTCGTTACAAACGAAACACACTACCTTCAGCATAAAAATGTTCCTTAGTCGCAAGGTACACAGCCGGCGCCCGCGCCGGCGCCACTCGCGTATACACGGTCACATGACTAAACTCATGGATGTGGGAACAATGTCGGCGGAATTAATGGAGCAACTCTGGGGACCCATCCCTCCACCGGGCAGCTCCCTCCTTCTGTCCGGTTCCTGTCAAACAGTCTCCCGCACCAGCTCTGGTGGTTTACTCTCCTCGTGATGCGCTGAAATTTGCCTGAGAGCCTTAGTGTGTATGTGGATATGACTGGGTCGTGGTTGCTTCGGCGCCTTGGCGCTTTGGCATACAGTGTGTCTTCGTCCTTGCATGTGGGGTTGCGACCACGGGGTAGCTACTGAACACGCGACAGCATCGCACATTTCGGTGCTTGCGTACGGACGTGAGCAGAGGGACAGCCGAGGCCGGATGTGCCACGGGCGTATAGTGGGATAATGGGGAGAGGGCGGAAGTAAGCATGCGAGCTCAGGCTTGTCAAGCGGCGACGGGAGTATGGAGATTGATGAGAGGCGGGTGGATGGTGAGGGACTATCATGATGGTGCTCACAACAGTCCTTTCAACTCTCTTCCTCCCACAGGCTGTCGGCCTCTCCTGCATGCTCCTTCACAGCTGCTCGTCCTCATGGCAATTGGAACATACCCCGGATCTGGTAACATGCGTACCGCCGTGTCTTGCGGGATTGTCTTACGGGTACGTGTAATGCTCTTTGATGGCGGGCCCGGCGAGGCCTCCTCCTCAGGTCTTGGTATGTGCAATAGCGCAGCCGCCTGGCTGTTGCGCTGTGGGGCATGTTTCTCCTCTTTGCAAGACAGGCTCGCGGATATGCTAACAGTTGAGCTTGAGGCAGCAGGGGGGCTACGCCTGCCTCGTCATTGCTGGATACGGATCCTCATGAGCCCGAGAGGATTGAGGAGCGGGGGCACGAACGGGTGGCATCCCGGCTGCTCTGGGGAACAAAGGAGGCAGCCCGGGGCGTGGCCAGGCATCCAAGACCCCACTTTAATCAATACGCCGGTGGGCATTGACATCGGAAACGACGATGGAGAGGTAGGTACGTCCGTCGTTTTCGAGCCTCCGCGCTCGAGTTCTCTCCTCGCCCCGGACCCTTCTCCCCACCGAGTACTTTCGTGTTCTCTCCCCACCCCCTTGGCTCCGTGTTCACCAGGTTCCAAGCAAAGTTCCTGTTCAGTCCTGAACTTGTACGTGCATTGTGCAAGCCTGCATCCTAGGTCGCGTGTTGTCAGAGCGGCGGGCTGTTGATATGAGGTCACCAGAGTCGCCCCGGTGGAATAGATTAACAGGAAAGCGAGTTAGATGGGCAAGAGGGGAAGTTTTTGGCGATCTTGAGTCTTCAGAGGGCTTGTCGGGCACTCAAGCTGCTAGACAGTTGCTAACATGGGCTCGCGTGTCCCTTGGGACAGCGTGAATGTCTTGCAATGTGGTCCGGCGGTCGTGGTGGCTGCCCGAGTCATGGTCGAGTTGCGGTCGAGTTGGTGGTGGTCCGACGGTTCTGGTGTCAGCCAGGGTCAGCATGTCAAATGGTCGGCTATTGTGTGGGGCAGAGGCGCTCAAGCAGGTAAGTACATTGCCCAGGCTATCTTGCTATGCCGCACTTTCTTTACAGCTCTTGAACGCGGCGGAAGAACTTTGACGAGTGCCACATTTTACGAGGTGGCAGTGATAGAACAGAAATACCAGATATGGACAACTCATGAACGATGAAGTGGGCTGGGGCTCAGTACTTACATACAAGTAGAGCAAGCAAATAGACGGGTAAGATATGCCATTATAGGCAGGCCCGTAGTATGCCGATGGAGCGCCCATCACTGCGGACAAACCACGTTGTGCGAAGCGCTCACAAGGTACTTACATTGTAAGGGCATGTATATTTTTACGGCTCTAAGTCGGAGCTCCTAACATAGGGAATGGTATTCCTTTGTTCGGGATAACATTTCAAATGTTCCCATAATCGGGAATGTAAGTGTTATGTTCTTCCTATGTTCCCTGTTCTAGGAATGTACTTCCCATGTAAGGGATTTTCACTTGGTGGCTTACTACAGCGAGTTCCATATCGCAAGGCCCCATGGCCGAAAATCACACACAGGCGGGCCGCGAATTCCATGACTTACCTGCACGAAATCGAAAACGAGACCGAGGCAAAAAAAACATAAATGCATTCCCCACATACAGACTAAAGCTCGCAATGTTATTGTACCGTATGCACCCAGAGCACCGTTCCTTATTCGAGGCTACACGCATATTGCCTGAGCTTATGTACGAGAACAGTGACTAAGCCGTGTCGAAGAGAGCTTCAGCAAAGACATGCACCGGCAAAAGTCGCGTGTGGGCTGCGCATGGACAAGACGTAGACGAGGTAGTTGCATACCGGTACCGCCTCGCCCAAGTAAGCAAACTGCGCGAACGAACAGCTCACCCCCTTCTTTTCGTTCGCAATGCATGAATGCACGACGTGACAGGCGGGCAGGCGACTGGCTGAATGGCCGGGAAAAGCAACGAGCGAGTAAGTGGGCATGCGTGCGCGACGGCGAGTGAGAAAGCTGGTAAATGAGGGGGCGGTTACGCAAGCGATCGAACGGGTGGTGTTCGGGAGGCCAGTGGATGAGTCAGTGAGCGGGCAACGGAACGTTGATAGCACTACTGAGTGTGCTATGAGGTGAGCGAATGTGTTCGTTCGTCGTGTTCGCTCGCGTGAACAAAAAACTGGCAAGGAAAGCGAGCATTAGTCTCTATACGTACCTTCGACTTCCAAGCCTTAGTGCAGTTCAGCTCGCCCTCACCACAACTGTTCTGCACGTTGTCCGACGCTGCTATCATCTCCTTCTTCCGCGCTGAAGGCACGCAAAACCTGGGGCGGCGTGCGACGTCGTTCAATTTGAGACGTTGAGAACAGGTTGAGAGGTGCAAGCCAGGCGGCCGCCACAACATAGATCTCGGTTACACTTAGCAGACGTATTACTAAGGGATAAGGAGGTTATTTCGGAGGTCCGCTCAACCCCGCCCTGTACGTGTCCAAGGGGGTGGGGCCTTGCGATATGGAAGTCGCTGTAGTATACACGCTCTTGCAATGTTAGGCCCATGTAAGCGCCTCGCACAATCCGGGTTGTCCGCAGTGCATGCGATTGTACACGACCCGCTATGTAGCGTCCACACGATCTGCGATCTGTGATCGAGTGTGATCGAGGAGCGCCCGTGCGTTCGGCTGCAACCCGTTTGGCCGCCTGACAGGTAACTCAATTCCCTTTAACATTGGCTTGGGCTCCTGGAGGCCCAGTTCTAATTCATGTCTGTGCGCTTCCGACTGTGTGTTAATGAACTTGCAGTTTAGTATCGCAGACAGTCAATCTGAGACACTGCAGGGGCCCACATAATGGGTTCTGTGAATGGGTCAGTCTCCGTAACGTCATGAGAATGCATGCAAACCTGATCAGAGCCTTGCGTAGCATGGTGTCCCATGTGGTTGTGTCAGTGCACGTCCTGTTGCAAGCTTTATGAATCGTCCATGTTTGGTGAATGGTACATAAGTGTACAAAACACATGTGCATGATTGATGCATGGCCATGCAGAGCTCAGTGGGTCATGAAGCACTGCAGCGTCAAGGTCCCAAAAACGGGCATCCTTTCTGCACAGGACTGCGTGCGACGATCACAATGTCATTTCGACTCTTCACCAGACTAAGAACTACAAGCACCTAATACATTGCGAGCCATACCTCACGACGATGCCTCAGGAAGCGACTCACTCGAGTGACCAGGTCCTCAGCAGTAGATGTGAATGATCTAAGACTGTGTGTCGGCTAAAGTTTCGCACGGTACTGTGTCGCTTACCTCCAGCGAGCAAGAGCCACCGTAGATTTGGCAAGCGGTGCATGGATTGTCGATGTACCGCTGGCATTCCGGCAACTCTGCCGCCACGCAATATTTTCACCGGCGTGCCCCATAGTGCTGTGGACAAACCTGAGAACAATCAATGACTGTGGCTAGAAACATACATACCTTCTGGTAGATCTCATGGTTGGGGTCCTGTATAATCTGGTGCTCTTCAAGCTCATAGTCGACATCCGAGGTCAAAAAGGTGTCGTAAGAGACATCTATGGGTAAGGTAAGTCAACCTGCCTGAGGGCGTAGAAACATGACTCACCTTTCAGTCGCTTTCCCTCTGAGAATGTGCGAGTCAGTATGAGCTATGCGCGGGGTGGATCGCTTCCCTTGACATACCTCCAACTAAGTTCAGAAGTATATCTATCTTCCGCACCAGCTGTGTCGAGGCCTCGCGGTTGGGATATTCTTGCCGTGCAGCGGTGATTGCCTCTGACCTCAGTTCCCTCAAGGGCGGGTCCTCGGGGGAGCTGTGTCTCCATTGCCAGCAAATCCGGACCGTCGGCCGGCGACCGCCGCTGGCTCCAGCAATTCCATCCAGGGCGCTGTCTGTGTGATAGTCAGGCGATCCGCTGCACGCCCATCTGAGGGTCACTCACTCACAAACACCCCGCGCAGCAACCGATCGGCTCCCAGTCCAAATGACTGACAACGACACCAATGACCAACCTGGCCAGCGCCCGGAGCATACCATCGGCCCACCCTGCTGGGGGGAGGTCGCTGACAAATATGCTGAGGTTGCCGGGGCGGGGCCGGTCCGCCTTGAGGTTGCGGAACTGGCCAATTGCGTGCGGAAATCGGTCAGAGTGAAAACGCCGACCATGGTGGTGGTTCAGTCGTAGGAGGGATCTGTGTTGTGGTTTTGCGATGTGTCGCCACCGGTTGATCGGGCGCCCGATTACAAGCCGCGGGACCGCAGCCACATTGAAGGGCGCTCTGTGACCCTGATAGGGTGAGTATTGAGGGGAGTTGTCGGAGGCCCATCAGTGCAGCCTAAAAGCCTGTCAATTGCGAAGTCGCGTTGAGTAAATCTAGCCTATGGTGAGAGATAGCCGAAGAGTATCGTAAGTAAACGGGTCCTGTGCTGCCAATCGTGCGTCTGGCGCACCATTGGCGCAAGTGCGGGGCTTGGGTGTCTCTGGTGAGGCTTATTTTCCCGGATAATTGCTGAAGCCAATGATCCGCAAAATACAAGCGGGGTGCTCTTGGCAGGGTGCTAGTTTGTCCTAACCTAACATGGGAGACGGGTCCTGAATTCAAGAGAAGGGGGTAGGCACAGATGGTTAAAAGGGCAGACTCTGAGAGGAAGATCGCCCTAAATTATCCCCACACACACACACCTCCAGACGTGTCGCAATGGGTTGGTTACCGCTCCCCAGCCCTGACGCTGTCCCTCCTCAAGCGCAGCTCAACCTGCGTGAGTTCAACAACCTCTGCGATATCCTGTATAACAACCTCGATCGCCAAACCGACCGACCTCAATACAAGTTAGTTCTGTCTTGCAGCGTTGGCCGGACGCTATTCTGATTATGAAGACTCAAAGATGGAGCGCCGCATCTGGATTAACCCGCGCGTCGATGCAGCCCTGCCCCCACCTGCAGACAACAACTTGGAGCCCACAGACGAAGGTCACTATCGCGTCCGCCACGATTACGACTCCATGATAGGCTGCTCCGAAAGCTTGCCTTACAGCACCGGCATACACGTTTCACGCTGCCGTCGTTCAAAGACACCTTGAAGAAGAGAAAACCGGTGCACATTGGGTGGCCTGTGAAATTTACTCCGGAGGTACGGCGTTCTTCTGCCCACGCGCGTTGACATCGGTATTGACACGTTGCGGAACAGCAAACACGTCTCATTGACCTCAGCAACATTCCAAGCATGTGCTTTACGAAGGTCGACGTCCATCAGAAGTGCAACATGATGTTTCCGGCGTTGTACAGACCTGGCGAGAGCGCCAAATTGCGAAGCAGCTATACCCCCTGTTCTGCGAAGACGTGGTATGAGCCAGCCTGAAGGAAATTACCTATTCACACCTGAGCCACTGGCCTCAGACGTACGCTGAGGCGTCTCTGAGGGCCCACGACCGTCGTGGTCAGTTTCACTTCTCTTCAATCGAGATCGCGGCTCCCTTTCTTCGCGCGCTCAGCCGTTGCATGTTCGAACGCATGGAAGACATTCCCGAGTTCAAGGGAGCGTTCTTCTATCACGAGTCTCGTGGGAGCAAAGGAGGCACCCACCACAATCCAAACGATGACATCGATGCGGATATGGCGTTGGAGGACGTCTTTTCAAAGCTGGATTTCCTCAAGTTGTCCGAGGACGATCTCAAGGACCGTTGACTTGTCGATGTCGCGCTGAAGGTCGAACACTCGGGCCATGGCATTCACTGGGCTACGGACTTGCATGACGCCATCCTTGCACATGTTTTGCCTAACGTCCAACCGGACACCCTTACCCATCTCCTGGAGAGCGAGGCGTTCAAGCTCGATCCCTGCATGCAGCTGACGGACATCGCCGGGTTCAGTGTCACGACTCCAACTGTGGGGCAACATGACTTGGTCAAGTATGCGAACGTATACAGCACGGAGCAGGGGCTTTACTGTCAGCTGCAGCTTACGACCGATTTCCTTGAGCGAACGTTTCCCGCGGAATACGGACGCGCTGCTTGTGTGGCTCATGGACCATGGACTCCTTGGAGCGCATGAATGGGTCACCCCAAGCGGTCAGCACCCGCCTAGAGGTTCGTATATCCGCGTCGTAGTCGTGCATCGTTGGATAACTGCTCTTGAATAGACGGAGACTGAACCGTCTCCGGGCATAGATTCGAAGACTGACCATCTCAGATCCGGCGTGTGGAGATGTGAAGATATCCCCATGCAAACGATACCTTCCCGATTTGGATTTGCCGCCCGCCATGCAGCGCTTGACTCTTCTTCTGCGTCTTATATACCCTCTCTCTCCTCTGTCGTCTCCACGACTGACGCCGTCTTACTGGCTGTCGTCGTCGTCATTGTCGCTGCCATCGCCACGACTTGCCGCCCGTCTTCCTCGCTCGTCGCGTCTCCGCCGCCGCCGCCGCCGTCTTCCTCCCTGCCTCCGCCTCTTTCTCGGAGTTCCAGCCATGGGTCGCGGTCTTGCGGTCTAATTTCATTGCGGACGGGCCCTACTTCTTCTCTTCCCGCTCTTGCAGGCTCGCACCGTCTCTACTCTCTGCCTCGCTGCACAGTCACAGGATATCTGTGCGTCTGACATCTTGTGAGTGCGCACTCGAGTCCACCTGGCCAGGCTTTGGCTCGGTGACATCATAGACCAGTACTTATAGGTGCCTCATCACTGCCGTATTTACGAGCATATACAAGTCCATTGATGGTATCTCTTTCATTCTACAAGTAATATGTCAATCACGGTGCGTGCATGCATGAGTGCTTCGCGAAAAAGTGGCCGGAAGGCTCATTCACCAGGCAGGTTTCCGTTTGCTTGGTGCGCTTTCGGACCAACTTATAGCGATTTTTAAAGTATCAGTGCGATGCTCCGGACAAGTCCACATGTGCCAGAAATGCATCGATGCAAGCGGGGCCCGCATTCTTATCAAGAACCATGTGTGTCCCGATATGAAAGGAAGTACCTTGAGTCATGCCGTGTTCAAATGGAACCCTTGCGTCGCCGCTATTACTCGTGTAGTCCACTGCAATGGCTCAGGCATCCACGTCAGAGTCGCAGGCTCAGCCTACATCGTGCGACTCGGAGAGTACTACCTCGTCCTTGCCTAGTGTCTCGCATAAGCATGTCTGAGCAGGACCAGTACATATTGTCGTCAAGTGTTGCTCCGCAGGCATATTTAGCTTATGGCTCGGCAACGCTATCCCCGAATCTTGGCGCGCTATTTGGTCTGCCACTCCAGGAGACACGAACAATGAACAAGACTACGAAGGCAATTCTTCCAATTGATAAGCTATTTGCCAACACAGCTGACAACACATTCGTAGCCATGCAGCCAGCACCGCAACTGGACGCAACTGTGTCGTTGCCTCGGAATGTTCCTGCCGTCGGCGATCTTGCAGAAGTTGTACGTCTAGTATCTGCCTCGTACTACTTGCTTGCGATGCTAAGTTTCTCATCCAGTTTCTATCTTTCGCTAGTGATTTTGGTTACATCGCCGACAATCGAGTGACTAGCTTGATTGCAAGATTACAATATTCTCACTACATGGCCCCCAGGCGACAAGTTGTCAATCCCCATCCAACACAGCTGTTGACGATGACGTGAACGTTGTTGCTGCTTCCGAGGACACTTGCCACATGCATGGGCAAGTGAATGCCTCTGCCAACGATAGTGATGCAAATATCTTGGGGTAGTCTAACGATAATTGTGAAATGACACTCATGGGTGAGTGAGAACCAGCTCTGTCACACAGCGAAAAACGAATTGTGGCCAGAAGACACAGGAAAGCCTTTGGCAACCAAGGATCGAGAACACCTACAATATTTTGAACAACCAGGACGTCATACGAAGATGCACAGCAAGCGTGTGGATCATGTTCTCACCAAGGTCAATTGTGATGAAATGTTGCGGGATACATGTTAATGATTGACTTAGCTCGAAGACCTGGAAGACCTCACACGACCGTTCATTTTCTTGTATGTTGCCAGGTTTAACGTGTGCAAGATCTTGTCACGCACTTGGTTGTCAGCGATATGGATGCTGTTCGCAAATTGAACGTGGAGGTTGCTCAGGAAAAGCAGATACAGGCGGACGCAGAACAGCGGCAGGCACAAGCAGGGAAACAACAGCCTGAGATGGCTGACGCCCTTGCAGAGATGCAGACGTTAGACGGTACAGTTATCAAGTAATGGTATTTACTTAGTTAGTTGTTCATGGTAGATGTCATACGTCTCATCTACTCTACAAGAGGCGTGAACGTGGGAACCGGAGACAAACGCTAAGACAAACATTGGAGACAAGAAGACGAGACAAGAAGCAAGAGACAAACGCTAGAGACATTCTCATTGGCTGAGAGACGGACGCCCGAACGCTGCCCGAGCCTCTCAAGCGCTCCGAGCTACCGTGACTGTACTTCATCCTCCTCATTATTCCTTAGACTCGCGCGCGACCCTCATGCTCATTTCTCACTCTGGCATCGAAGGGCGCGGATCAGCAGGGCAGCGGTAAGGTGCAGACAACGAGTGACAGGAGTGCACCGAGCGGAGCGATGGAGACGACCACCGTCACGGTGAGTGCAGACACACGTGAGCGAGCGGGCTAACTGCAGGCACAGGACGCGGCGACGTGCAGCCCGACGCATGACGATCACAAGCATGCAGGCATGGCTGATGAATAGGCGGCGGGCGGACAAGCAGGCCAGCGAGAGGCACACGCCGACCGTGAGGCGGCTGAGCAAATGCCCAGCACGTAGACACGGCCGACGAACGGATGGCGGGTGCGTAGCCGAAGGAGTCGTAGAGACAGAATGGGCAGGCGCAGGGCGCAGTCGCCGTGGCGACATGAAGCGCGACGCGCACGCCGACCGCGAGCGCGCCAGGCGAAGCCCGGCACACGGACATGGCCGACGAACGCACGCAGAGCAAGCGGGCAGGTGGGCGAGCCGGCGGACAGGTGAGCAGGCGTGGAGGGGCAATCGGACGGGTAAGCAAGCGAGTAGATGGAGAGCAGGAGGGCGAGCGAGTAGGTGACAGCATATACGTCGGCCGCGAGCGCGCTGAGCGAACACTCACTGCACGCAGACACGGCCTACGACCGCGCACGTAGGCAGGCCCCGAGCGGGTACACAAGTGAGCCACGACACGCACAGCGAGAGCGAGGGCGAGGGCGAGGGCGAGGGCGAGGGCGAGGGCGAGGGCGAGGGCGAGGGCGAAAGCTCGGCGAGCATGCAGGGCAAAGCCCCCGCGTGAATCGCAGCCGGCGAGCGGACCATGGGCGTGGGCGTAGCTACGAACAGGGAGGGCCAGCAGACGGCGGGCGCGAACGGGAGCGAGTGAGCAGGGAAGGGCGAATGGCTGGCAGAGATGGGTGAGGACGAAAGGTGAGATGAGCAAGGGCGAGTGAACGTCACGTATGACGCGCGGCAACACCGAAGATGCAAGCACAACGCGCACGAGTCGGAGTCGAAGAGTGGCCATGGGCATAGGTGCGCTGCGCGTCTTAATATTCCACGTTCCGCTGTTGATCAATGTCATTGTGCTCCCCCTTACTGCTGTGCGGAGAGACAGGGGTTGGAGGCATATACAGTTAAGTAGTACCACCCGAAACTCAGAGCGAGCTTCGGGAGCAGACAAAAACTTACAAGCTTTCCAGCAATCGTAGGGGTGGTGACTCGGAGAGGCCATGGGCATGGGTGTGCTGTATATCACCCATTCCGTGTTGCACTCTCCCTTACTACTGCCCGGCCGGGGAGCCAAGCTTCAGTCGAGGCAGATCCACCTGAACAGTTAGTATTCCACAGACTGGCACGGGGCCACGAAGCCGACTCCCGAAGGGAGACGGCTGAGTGGCCTCTCAACTTCAATCTCTTACAGAAGTCGCCCACACTTGCAAATTAATTCAGTCATGAGAATTGAGTACTGTCGGCTCGCCGTGAGCTCGAAGCTGTACGTAATGTATCTAACTCAGAGATCGAACCGTGACGCCGCATACCCGTAGCAGAGCACGGGCATCGGCTAGTCTACTCTACAAGAGGCGTGAACGTGGGAACCGGAGACAAACGCTAAGACAAACATTGGAGACAAGAAGACGAGACAAGAAGACGAGACAAACGCTAGAGACATTCTCATTGGCTGAGAGACGGACGCCCGAGCGATGCCCGAGCCTCTCAAGCGCTCCGAACGACTGGTACTGAATCACTACGTACTATCCTTCGTCACTCCTTTCAGACTCGCGCGCGACGCTCGAGTTCATTTCTCGCACTGGCATGGGAGGGCGCGGGCCAGCAGGGCAGCGGTAAGGCGCAGGAAAACTCGAGTGACAGAAGTGCATCGAGCGCAGCGATGGAGACGGGCGCCGTGAGTGCAGATATTACACGCGAGCGAGCGAGCTAACTGCAGGTGCAGGACACGACGACGTTCAGCACAACACATAACGCACGATAACCGCGGACACGCAAGGCCATTGCCCTGCAGACAGGCAGGCCGACGAACGGGCGGACGAGCGAGCGAGCGGCACATGCCGACCGTGACGGCGCTGGGAAAATGCCCAGCACGCAAACACGGCCGACGAACGGACCGCGGGTGCATGGGAGAAGGAGTCGTAGGGATAGAATGGGCAGGCGCAGGGCGCAGTCGCCGTGGCGACATGAAGCGCGACACGCACGCCGGCCGCGAGCGTACCAGGCGAATGACCGGCACGCCGACACGGCCGACGATCGCGCGCAGAGCAAGCGGGCAGGCGGGCGAGCCGGCGGATAGGTGAGCAGGCGTGGAGGGGCAATCGGGAGCAAGCGAATGGATGGAGAGCAAGAGGGCGAGCAAGCGAGCGAGTAGGTGACAGCGCATGCGTCGACCGCGAGCGCGCTGAGCGAACACCCACTGCACGCAGACATGGTCCACGAACGCGCACGCAGGCAGGCGAGCGGGTACACAAGCGAGCCACGACACGCACAGCGAGAGCGAGGGTGAATGCTCGGCGAGCATACAGGGCAAAGTCCCGGCGTGAAGCGTAGCCGGCGAGCGGACCATCGGCGTGGGCGTAGCTATGAGCAGGGAGGGCCAGCAGACGGCGGGCGCGAACGGAAGCGAGTGAGCAGGGAAGGGCGAATGGCTGGCAGAGACAGGTGCGGACGAAAGGTGAGATGAGCAAGGATGAATGAACGTCACGTACGACGCGCGGCGACACCGAAGCTGCAACCACAACGCGCACGAGTAGGAGTCGGAGAGTGGCCACTCGGAGGCCATGGGCATAGGTGCGCTGCACGTCTGAATGTCCCTCAAGTTCTGCTATTGATCAATGGCATCATGCTCTCCCTTACTGCTTCTTGAATGGCTTCTGCTGCACGTCAAAGAGGCTGAATACGGGCGACAACTCGCTGATAACACGGCAGACGAGCCAGGTCAGTCGAGCACGCGACCCCGCACTCACCGTCCGCCCCGGCACGCAGACATGGCCAACGAACGCGCGCGGAGCGAGCGGGCAGGCGGGTGAGCCAATGGACAGGCGAGCAGGTGTGGATGGGTAATTGGATGGGCAAGCAAATGAGTCAATGGGCGGGAGAGCGGGTGGGCGAGCAGGTGACAGCGCATCCGTCGACCGTGAGCGCGCTGGGCGAACAACCATTGTACGCGGACATGACTGGCAAACGAGCAGGCAGGCAGGCAAGCAGGTACACAGTACACAAACGGGCCACGACACGCACAGTGAAGGCGAGGGCGAATGTTCGGCGAGCATAAAGCCCTCGCGTGAGGCGCAGCCAACTCGCGGATCACGGGGGCAGGCGTAGCTACGAGCAGGAGGGGCATCCCGACGGCGGGTGAGGATGGGGGCAAGTATGCAGGGAAGGGTGTGACTGGAGAGACGGGTGAGCATGGGATGAGATGGGCCACAATGAGTGAGGACGAGCGAATGTCAGGTACGACAGGCAGCAACACCGAGGATGCAAGCACAACGCGCGCTCGAGTCTGCTTGAGCCCGTTGCGTCGGATGCGGTGCTGCCGGTGCATGGGAACGCTCGACACCATCCTGCATCTCATGTGGGCGACAACGAACAGTGAGAACAAGTATGTAAGCCATCAGGTCCCTGTAGTCCGAGCTACTTTTCAGCATTCAGATTGGGCGGCTTGACATCGTACTTCAGTTTGCAATACACACTCCGCATGCGGATAGCTGAGAGCACGGCCCCTGATACTCTACTAAGGGCAAAACAGGCGCAGGATCGTGCCACGCAAGTCGGGTATAGACGTCTTCAGTACGGCTTGCAAGCCACTCTGCGTCAGTCTTGAGCTCGGAGGAAGAGAGAATTTCCATCACGTTGATGAAGATGAATTAACGAACCAATTGGCCGCATTGCTGAACACATTCATTGAAGCCAGTCTGCTGTCTGCCCCGTTTTTGTCAATATTCGCAGCGGATCAATGGTGCAGCGAGGGACAAGCTGTAGGACAATGTCTGGCGCTGCAAGGTTGTTCATTTAAGATGGCTCAGTGAAGGACTTGTATAGATGGAGATAGACACCACTCACCTGTCGTAGGGGATCTCGATATGCTTCATGGTAGTGGGACGGGAGGCTAGGACAGGATACAAGTTCAAGCATCCCATCGTCTGTAGGATAGCTCGTGGTTGATGACGGAAAATTGTCGTATTCTTGCACAACGAGTAAGACTTTCGTCGACATGTCCAGGAACTTCTGTATAGCAGCTCGTATGTTTTCTGTGGTATGGCAGCACCAGGCCAAATAAAATGGTTTCGATCTTGTCGCTCGCCTTGTCAACGAAGGTAGGTTGTCGAACAGATGCTAGTAGCTTCGATGCATGTCTCACACCATCGTCTGAGATGACAATCTTCGGGGATAGTCCACACGTCGGACAGCACATTTCGCTCGAGATCACCTGCAATTGCACGAACATGAACCATGTTTGTACGAAGGTCTCGTCCGAGCAGAAAGGCAACTCGATCACAGAATCTTCGTAACTGCGACGATTCGTGATAAAGAACGCAGAAAACGGGGTCACGGATGCGGTGAAGGCATATGTATACGCATTGAGTCGCTCATGCGTGGAGAGGCATTGGTTGTCCCAGTTGAGAACATCAACTGATCTAAGGTCTGCCCCGACGAAGCGGCATCGATGGCGGCACTGTGGACAGGGGACAACGTCGACTGTGACTCGGGATGCATCAAGCAACCCAAACAGGAAGGCAGGCTGCGGCGAACTCGTTGTAACGAGTTCCTGAGGTAACTGGGCAATAGTGGACCCGCAGAAGCATTTTGCTGAGCGTCGAGGAAGAAATGGGCCGCGTAGGATAGCGGGGCTCGATGATTACTGGGAGACTCATATGCCAACGCGCACCACCGAGGAGGATACTTGTATGCTCTCTTTTGTTAGGACCTCTGACGGCGAGCAAAAGCGCACCATCACCATCCTCGTCTCGTCCTGCATCGACACCCTGAGACTCAGAGTCATCAATGAGCCTGGTCTCGTACCCGTCCGTGTGGACGCACCCCACCACCGTTCCGACACCGGTGGTGGGGTGCGTCCACATGGATGGGTACGAGACCACAATGAGCTCAGCTCTGATCGCGAAGTCAACAGCATGTGGGCAATGTTTGCAAGCATCCGACAAGCGACAGGAGTCACAGTGCCATTGTCCGTCACGCCGAAGTGCCACAATAACATGTTTGTTTGACTGGAAACGGAGCGTAGAACTGATACAAGAGAAGATACGAGCCTTGTGGTACGGGGTGGACTGGAAGTATACAGCCGCAGGGATAGGGTTTGGTGCGATGATAGGGAGTAGCTATAGAGAATGAAGGTACCAACAACCCACTTGTGTACACACTAGCCGTTGCCCGTGCTCCGCACCTTGTACAGTTTTGAGCGCACGACGGGACAAAGTAAACTAATATGCATGTGCATGACTACTGTAAAAATCGAAAGGCCACTCAGCCGCCTCCCTTCGGGAGTCGGCTTCGTGGCCCTGTGTGTCGGGAGTGAGATATTATCGCTAATGAAAGCATGAGCCATGGTGTTGGAACAGACAGAACAGAAGACAAAGACAGGAGATGATAGAAGACGGTCCCACCATGAGCCCGTCACCACCAACAGACTGCAGGCGCAAGGCCCTGTCGACGAAGAGGGTCGCTCCACGCGCCCATCAGTGATGAAAGGGAAAACTCACCCGCAGTGAAAAGGTCAGACTTACGGCCATCTTGGACCGGCGGTAGGTTCACCACCTTCCGGCTAGCCATGCGCGCGGCCGCTGCGGCACGCTCGACTTCGACTGGGTCGGCAAACAGATTGATGAGGTGCGGCTGCGCGTTCCTGCACAGGCGGGACACCCGCGGGCTCAGCAGCAGGCTGTTTGCGAGGTGCGGGCTGCTGCTGAGGCGATGGTGCGACCCTGGCAGGGCGTGGGGCGGGCGGTGGGGCACCCCCGGTAGGATTGCCATTAACACCAGCGGGCTGTTCAGGAGGCATGGGAGCAGGCGGAGGCGCCCCCGCAGGAGCAGGGGGCTGCGAAGCCGCAGGATGGCATTGGGCAACCGGGCGCGATTGCGAGGAACCTTGCGAGGAACCACCGCTCGATGCGGTGCCGAGGTTGATGCCGATATGCGAGCTCGGGCCACCACCACCACTAGACTGCGTCATGGTGAATAGGAGGACTAGGATATGTAAATGAAAGACGTAGTAGGCTAGAACTACGCTGAGACAGCTGTAGTCCAGCAACTGAGCACTGAGCAAGGAGTGAGTACTAGTGGTGGTGGTAAGCGAAAGGCTTGAACCCAGTTCTGCGGACTGATCTGAGCTCTCCGAGCTTGCGCGTGGTTACCACAACACCACGCAGCCCCAAACCAAGCATGCTCGCACTGGAATGAGTTGCATGCGGGTCATGATCACATCTGGCCATACTAGCATGACGATCCTATTAGGGAGCGGTAATTACAAACGTCAGTCGTAGCTCAGAATGGCAAGGCGGACCTCCGATGACACTGCCGGCCATGCATTGGGGCGCAGGTCGCCCGGATAAACTTGGGTGCTGTATGACATGCCGAGTAATAATGGTCCAGAAGGTGACACGCCGACAATAGGATGTGGCATTTCACGAAAAAGAGTTGGTGTTGGGGTGGCGCAACCGGACCCAGATGGCGTGTACACAGTAGACGGCACACCACAGTAAGTTGTCCCTCGTGAGGTTTCGTGCACACCGCAATCTTGTGTTGTACTAGTAGGGGAATATTGAGATGTCGCATTGAAGAGAGGACTCCGCAGCGTAAACCATCCTGGTGCTGTCTGCGCCATAGGCGGGAGCTGAGGTGGTGGTCTTTGTGGCGTAACATCAAGAGGGGCGAATACCGCGGGGCGTAGCCAAGCGGTGGCATGAGCGACACTTGAGGACGGTAGACGGTAGTTTCTTGCGAGGCATAAACAGCAGGCTGTCTCGTCGACCCTTGGCTCCCTACTGCGTATGACTGAGGCCGATGGTAAGCGCGCTGTGAGGTCTGCTGCATGATGCTCCGCATCATCAATGAACGCCAGTCCATACCTCCGAGTCCTGTGCTGTGACGCGCGGATGGACTCGGAATAGCATAACAACCGCTCGCTCGTCACGAACAGTGAAAAAACTGTCCTCAAGCGGAGGGCATAGTGCCGCCGCAGTCTGCTGTCCGATACTCCGTCAAAGTCGCATGTGTCGCTTGGAGGTGCATTATCTGCTTTGCCAGTCTTTTTGCTCGCACTGCGCTGCAACGTTGGAGTCGCTGAGGGACATGCGTGCTGATGCCATTTGTGAAAACTAAGGCGACGCCGTCAAGCTCAGTTTCAAGCCGCAACCTTGAGAACATTGCTGTGTTTGATCTCCTAGAGCCTCAGGAAATGCCCAGCTTGGTCGACGAGACGTTCAACAAGAGAGGTAGGGAATTCCACAGCCTTGAACATGAAAAGATAGTCACATTGACACTCGTTGTGCCGCACAAGTAATGTCTCGTGTAAGCGCTCGTTCTCGGCTTTCGTAATCTGCCATTTCCCCTTCATTCGCGCAAAGTCTTCACTGAGCGCTTGGGATGCTGAGGAGGAGGAGGAGGAGGGGATTCCATTTAGTCCTCACGTCTGCGTGCCATAAGGCTCGCCACGTGTGACAACGCTCTCTATTTACATGACAACCTCCATACTCCATAGACCCTTGTACACTAATTCCGGATCGGGATATCCAGCACCTACTATCGCACGATTGCAATACTACTCGATAATTCACAAACACCCCGGCCCATTTGCATTGCAGCAAGGCAGGATCCATGGCTAAAACCTGGTAGGAAAAAGCTTCAAAAAACCTCCAGGCGTTAGTGGTGGTTCCCCATCGCACTAACATAACTCACCATGGTCCAGGTGGTACCATATGGTAGCGCTACTGCCGTCCGCGATCATGCGGAGGGCACGCGAGGCCCCCTATCGGCATAGTAGGGGCTGGACACGCCCGACCTGATCCTAGCGCACAATGACATTGGTGTCAAGGACACCGCCGTCGAGGGCGTAGAGCAAGTGGCTGCGGTGATATAGACGCACGCAGGGGACAGCGCTGGCCCGCTCACCGCATGGCGTAAGAGTGGAATTGCTCCACGCTGGTGACCACCAGGATGGGGACGGCGTCACAGCAGTGGAACACGTCAAGAATGTATTTAGCGGCGATATGCTCCGTGCACTCCTCCGCGATCACAGCATTGAGGAATGCGAGGGGGGACTGCTTCGGCACTGCTCGTTTCTGTGAGCGCAGAGCGACGTCCACCGATTGCATGAAAGTGGCGCGTCGTGACCGAAGAGGCTCCGCACGACATAGCATCAGCACATGCGCCTCGTCCTCGACCATGTTTCGCCCTTGGCCGAATCTGCAAATTCGCCAGTGGGGTGGAATTGGCGGCGACCGTCGTCGCAGGCGTTCTACCGTAAATGGGTGGTCCGAGGCGAAGAGCCTGCATACCGCCTTTCGGGCGTCGCGGCCTTCCATCGCGAGATATTTGCGACGAGTGAGGACGCCTGCGCCATTCGGGCGCGCACGCAGGACACATAGCCGTTGGGATGCGTGAACTTCGCGTGTGAGGTAAGTCCTCAGGGAGGCCAGCGTTTCTTCTGCACATTTCTTGACGATTTCCGATGTTAAGGCTTCCGGCAACGGGAAGTTGACTGGGACTGGTAGCTGTTGCAAAGCATACCGGAGGTCTCCGAGCCATGAAGCAGTGCCACTCAAAGCCATGCGGCGAGTCTCGGCCAGCGCTGCCAAGGGGAGCACTGGTCGCTGCGTTACCACATACATGAGGTAACGGAGCGCCAGCGAGAGTCGTCGGTAACGGATCGGCCAAAGGCCAGTCTCCGTGAACAGGACTGCAGTTACAGACCTGGGGTTTAGTCCGAGGGTGCGGCGCAGAAACGTCAACTGCACGGCCGCGAGGCTGTTGTGCGCCCTCAGTTGGACATCGATCGTGACTTCGCAACCAGAGATCAGGTGCGAGTCGATGTGGGTGTTATATAGAGTCAGAGCCGCCCAAGGGGGCAGGTCTGCAACATACGACTCCACAGAAAGGCATGCATTCGCTGTCTTGCGGGCGATGTCCACACGGCGCTCGACATGCGCCGCAAAGATGTCTCGCGCAGTTGACAGGAATGTGATGCCGACATAAGTGTATCTGTCGACAAGGGCAATGCCTGCTCCATTGACAGTGATACGGGGCGCGGACGTCGGGAGGGCTCCGAAGATCATGAGCTGGGTCTTCGAGACATTGATGGTCGCGAAGTTCAGTGAGCACCATCGAGCTAAGTCATCTAGTTTGAGTTGAAGCCCAGCCTGGGATGTGGAGAACAGCGCAATGTCATCTGCCTGCTCGAGGTGGGACACACATATTCCTCCCAGACGGATGTCGTCTTCGTGATCGGAGATGCGTAGATCGGCAAGGAATAGGATCCAGAGGATGGGTGACGCCGGATCGCCTATAAGAATGCCCGCCGCCGCTTTGAAGAAGTCAGATGTGCAGCCATCTGCGCGTACGACATAACGCAGCCTAGCGTACAGCATCCGCAGCCAGTCAAAAAGCGGGCCTGAAAAGCCCGCCGCATGCAGCTTTGCCCACAGCGTAGGTTGATCCACTGATGGAAACGCGTTTGAGAGGTCTACAAATGCGACATATAGCGGTCTGCCCATCTGCCGTGCTTTCTCAATAGCGGCCCGCAGCACAAACACATTATTGTTTGTCCGGCACCCAGTTCGGAAGCCATTCTGGGAGCTAGGGATCTACGACGAGGATTCGGCCCACGCCCGGATGCGTCGTTCAATCATCAGTGTGAGCATCTTCACGAGGCAGCTCTCCAAGCCCACCGCTCGATAGTTGGCCGCATTCGCTGTGTCCTTCCCGCGCTTCGCTATCCCAATGAGGATGGCCGTCATCCATGTGGAGGGCGCGTCGAGGCTATCCACACACTCCTGAAAGAGCTGCCGAAGATCGCTGTTGTCGAGCGCGAGCACCGTTGCGTACGAGACCCGATCGCCTCCGACGGCGGAGCGACGTGAATGCAGGCGGATGTGTTCTTTAGCATCCGCGATGTCCTCAAGGGTCCATGGACGCGCGAAGAACTCCTGCTCTGGGGGCGTCGCTGTGCGCTCTGGCAGTGCCTTGCACCACTGCCTGTTCGCTGCATATCGCATCGCATCGAAGTTATCCGGTCGCTCGACAGGAGGGTTCATCCGTGGTGCAAAAGCCAGTCTCAGGTCGTCGACGGTGACCCTAGATGGGCGAGGTGCCGGGTCAACCATCCCTCGGAAGGCTTTCCAAAACGCAGCATCCGGCTTCCCTGGCTCTAGAAGGGCGCGGATGTGTGCATGACGCAGTCTCTGCATGTTCTGCGCCTCAGGCGTCGTCGGACCAACCTCCTCGTCCCCACGCAGCTTCAGACTACGTTCGTCCGTGTCCTTTTCGAATGCGCGCGGCGAGGTGTGTGGAGGGAGGGCGGTGTGCACTTTGGCGACGTCCATTTGCCCCCGTTCTCCTGCCATCGATGCGGGCAGGGGCTCAGCTGTCAGTGGCATGAATGGTGACAACGGCCCCGCCTGCAAGCAGCCTTCCCGAGCAAGCATATCGGCCGCATCATTGCATTCATTCTGCGCATGGCCCTTCACCCAGCAGAACACTACAGGCGCCGAGCGGGCTCGGAGGACGTCGGTTATGTTTTGGAGTATGTCTGCATTTGCGCAGCGCCAGCCAGCCGCTGCGAAGCGGGGCGCCCAGTGGCAGATGCAGCGAATTGCGTACTCGGAGTCTGTGTAGACACGAAGAGATACGCAGGCATCGGACTCCGCGAGCGCCACCAGTATAGCGTACAGCTCCGCGCGATTGTTCGTTGGTGGGAGCGGAGCCAGCAGAGAGCGGTTTGAGATGCTTCCGCGACCCCAGAAAACACCGGACCCAGCCCTCGAGGCAGGCCCAGTACGCAGTCCATGCGGCTTCATTGCTGATCCGTCTGTGTAGACATGTAGGATTGCCTGGGTCACGCACTGGACCGGTCCATAGAGGGCGCACAGGGCGTCAGGGAGGCTCCGTGTCACCGCCAATATGCGGTCAAGCATTGGGTCCAGCGGGGAGTCAGATACTGTATTCTCCGGACTGTCTTCGGTAGAGCGCTCCGCATGCGCTGGCGGCCGCTGTCGTTCTTGCGGGCTGACGATCTGTCGACCCATGGCAATACAGACAGCAGCATGATCTGACCATTCTGGCCAATGCTCCAGTATGCGCAGGCGGACACTCGCCTCGCGTATAAGGCGTAGTGACGCAATCGCGTAGTCGATGACCGTTGACCCGAGTGGCTGGAATGATGTGAACCTCGAAATGCGAGCCGTTGATTATCTCGAGCTCGTAGTCCCGGCATAACTGCAGTAGTGCGCGGCCATGTTGGGAGACCTGTGCTGCATCCGGGGATGAGCGGGTAATCCCATCGGAGGCAGTAACCGTCCCAGTACGGGCATTGAAGTCCCCCACGAGTACGACCGGGACGTCAGCATCACAAGTGGTGATAGCGAGCACTCGCTCCAAGAGCTCGAACGGACCAAGGGCGGATAGTGTGTACCAGTGTGATTGAATCGGAGGAACATACGCATTCAATAGCCATAGTCCCTGTAACCGAAGGACCATCACCTCCGACCCGCCCAACTCCGCATGGTGCACGCATGGTAGGCCCGTGCGCACAAATGCGGCGAGGCCTCCGCCAGGCGCATTGAACGAAGGCGTGTCCAGTCGCCCGCATGCGAAGCAGTCATATCCGGCTGGTAGGGGTAGCTGCACCTCCTGATCTTGCCGAAGATGGGTTTCCTGTAACAGTACGACATCGAACTGCGCAAGCGCCTTCGGGAACTCATCACTCCTCATTTTCAAGGCAAGGTTGCCATGCACGTTCCAGCTCGCCACGCGGATAGGCATATCATTCGCGGGCGGGCTAGGACAGCACATTTAGCATTTTATTTCAGACGTATAGTAGTAGTATTTTACTGACTACTGCACGACCGCGCGAACGGAAGGATACTCCTTGGGGCCGTTGTTCCAGGCGTTCGTGAAGCTGACCGCCTCCTCCCTAGAGCGGAACAGAGCCCGGACGTACGAGGGGTCGCTGTCCACGAAGACGCCCAGGACCCACGAGTCTTCGATGCGAACACCCGCCCTGACGGAGGTCGTGACCTTGAGGAATTGCAGTCGAGCCACATCTGGCTTCCAGGACATCTGTCCGAAGCGCACCTGCGTCGTCACCGCCTGAGGGGCTGGCACACGAGGTGTCGAGCGGTGTCCCGAGCGTCCCGACGCCGGGCCCGGCCCTGGAGCCGGCATTGGTATGGGCATGGGCATGGGCACCGACGCCTGCTGGTCCCAGTAGGACCCATCACTCCGCATGGAGTTATTCGCCTGCGCCGTTTGGCCCTCCCGGCGATCGGCCTTCTTTTTCCCTCCTCCACCACGCTTTGCGCGCTTCGAGGGAGGCCCTTCCTGCATGGCGTCGTTGTCGTGCTCGAGGGGCGGGGCGCAACGTGAGGCGGGCTCGGGAGGGGCAGTACCATCGGCCTCTGTACACGAGATGGTCCACTGGGAGGCACAAAGGGGGGCAGTGGCGGAGGCGAGGGGCAAGCAGGTACGTAGCCATGCGCCATGTCCTCGTTCCATCGGCGCAGTAGGGATGCCACGGAGTCCTCAACCTCAGTGAGCGTTTGCGCGACTCTACCAACTTGGCCCGCTACGTCCTTGACCGTACCCTCGACGTGTTCCACCGAGCCATCCAGCTTTCGTAGGCGCACAGTGGCATCGTCGGTCAAAGTTACGACGGTGTTGTGGGCGTCGCGCAGCTCGGCTACCTCGTAAGCCATCGACTTATGAGCGTCGCGAAGCTCCAGCAAGTCATGCGTGCGGGCAGTCCGCAGTTCCACTATGTCTTGAGCCGCCATCGTCGCGTCCTTGCCTAGGGTCTCCAGGCGTGCACGGAGCTGAACCTCCTCCAGGCGATAGTCGACAGCATTAGCGACCACCTGAGGCAATCCAGCCTTCATTCCCGTGAGGACCTGCGTCGCCATATCACCGTTCACGAGGTCGACCGAGGCCATCACGCGCTGCATAGTCTCCTTCAAGCCGTTGAGCTCGGAGCCCACCTCAGCACGCAGGGCAGTGACGTCGTCAGACACCCGCCCGATGTTTCCGGCGAGGATGGGCACAGCCTTGGCGGCCGACTCGCCATTGAGGGCGACGAGACCGTTTTTGGAGACGGGCTCCTGCGCGACCTTGGCTTTTGCTTTTTCTTTTTCTTTGGTCGCCCGCTTGGCCGTGTTGGCGGAGGGCGACGCAAGAGACTGCAGCGACGCTGCCGATTGCGACCGCATCAACCTCTGAGTCGTCGGCGGAGGCGGCGCCACTGGCGTCGTCGGGGCAGTCGCTAGCAATGCATCCATGTCGGCCATGGCGGTACTGGCCTCCACGCCGCCACTGATCACGATATGACCCATCAGTGCTGTAGGGTATCCAGCCAGTTCATCGCACCCACCTAGGACGCTGGGAGCCGCTGGGGGATACCGTGCCAACAGTGTCGCCGTCACTCTCGTCGAGAGGAGGTGGTACGGGCAGGGAGGGGTCCGGCGCTGATGCAATGACAGCCATACTCTGTGCTCGTCTGCTCCCCACGTCAAGCGATCTTTTGTCAGGCGGGCTGCGAGCACAAAGCAGTATCTTGCTTACCCGTTCCTCCAGTAACCACAAGCCTCGGGTTGAGCGCCGCGACGACTGCAGGCGGCGGACAGCAATCCGTTTTCCGACAGTGTGGCTGGCCATCTGTACAGTTTTGCCATAGCACTGTACAGTTTTTGCCGTGAAGGTTCAGGGTGTCGTCGGGAGCAGACGGCGGGATTGGTGGCGCCACGGGCACCAACCATTTATCCGGTGCGGGAGGACGAGTGCGGGGTCCGTCTAACGCGGCACGGCCAGTCGGTCGATGCATTTCCGGATGTTCCGCCCAGCACCCTGCGACCAGTAAATGTGCAGCCGTAGGATCGGTCCGACAGGAAAACCTTTGCGGTGGTATGTCAGTAACCCAGGGCAGTGGTCGCCGGCTTAAGTTCCAGACGGACTCAGCTCTCGATGCGATCGAGCTGGCTGCACTTGAGGGCGAGCATGTCGGTGGTTGAGCCAGAGGAGCAGTGATATCCGCTGCACAGGCGCGTAGGGGATCTTCGCGGGTACATGACCGAAGGAGCTCGGGGTGGCTCCGACTCGGAGTCGGTGCGGAATGAGAACAGTACCGAGTTCGAGGAGGGTGCCGACATAGGTCGAGAGTCGTCCAGGACAGTTTAAATACAGACGAGCTGGATCGAAGGACTCGGAGTCGGACAGTCCGCAATGGCACCCGCCGCTTGGTCGGCTGGATAGTGGACGTTCATGTCGGACGAGCTTGCGAGACAGAGACTACGACTCTGTGTTGACCATCCTCCACGCATTCATTAGTACAATCGTCTGGTCATCGCTCACGATGATCCGGCTCTTCGTGGCCAAGGGAACTGATGAGCGAAGGTTGTACCAGAGTCTCATTCCTGTAAGCTACAATAGTGTAGTCTAGTCAAGTCTAGTGACAGAAAACGAGAGCTATTCGAAGGGCGTAGCGGCCGTGGCGCCTTCGAAAGCGGTCGTCCGAGTGGGCGTGCAGAGGAGAGCGATGCGCGCCTGAAATCTCCTCCTGCGTGTGTAGACTCACTTCTACGCGACGCTCGTGCCTCGCTTCGCTTGGAATAACAGAAGACTACTGAGAGGCACTTGCGCAGCGTGTTATTGGCCTGTAAACAAACGTTCTCGAATTAGAAGTAGAGGATGATCTTGGCCCGTATTGCGTTGCGGGCGGAGTGTTCGTGTCAAAAGTAGAGGGGATGATATTCAAGATATCGATGACTGGGTTTTCCTTGTTGACAATAGCACGAGGTTAGGGCGGTCAGCCCCTACATCGATACCCCAGAATGGGTGTTAGCCGTATAGAGTCTCCCACAGTGTGTCGAACGCGAGAGTGTAGCATGTCGCCGTACACGCAACAAAGGGAACCCAATGACCTGTATAGTGCCGAAGGATGTTGAGCTGCCTGTACTCCTTTCGGAAGTCGTCTTTCCCCCTTCATCCACACAATGAGCTTGTTCGATAACCACAGTTTGCAGGCGCTCTCTGAAGTATGTGAACTTTCCATAGCTTGGTGAATGAGTCGGACAGGGCCTTCTCAGGCGAGAGGTAAATCATCTGCGCCTTTGTACGGGCATCCACCCAGGCCTCGCGAGTCTTTGAATCATCCTCGTTGATCATCGCCGTTCGTAGGCCTCTCACTGAATGATCTCGTTAGCATAAAGTAATGGTGAGTAGTACGACAGACCTGAACCGCCTCGAGAGCCTTCAGAGGGCATATCAGTATGACAGCATTTCTGTAGACTCGATACCAGTTCCGGAAGGGTTCACGTGCTCGCCTTGAGAGGGCGGAGATTGAAAAGGCGAGCAGTCACCCTACGGACTGGGCCAACTGGGCGCGCACTTAGGGGAGGAGGAGGAGGAGGAGGAAGAGGAGGAGGGGCTTCCATTTAGTCCTCACGTTTGCACGCCATAAGGCTCGCCACGCGTGACAGCGTTCTCTATTTACATGACAACCCCCGTACTCCATAGACCCTTGTACACTAACTCCCGATCGGGATATCCAACACCCACTATCGCATGATTGCAATACTACTCGATAATTCACAAACACTCCGGCCCACTTGCCTTGGAGCAGGGCAGGATCCTTGGCTAAAACCTGGTAGGAAAAAACTTCGAAAAACCTCCAGGCGTCAGTGGTGGTTCCCCATCACACTAACATAACTCACCATGGTCCAGGTGGTACCGTATGGTAGCGCTACTGCCGTCCGCCATCATGCGGAAGGCACGCGAGGCCCCCTATCGGCATAGTAGGGGCTGGACACGCCCGACCTGATCCTAGCGCACAATGACATTGGTGTCAAGGACACCGCCGTCGAGGGCGTAGAGCAAGCGGCTGCGGTGATATAGACGCACGCAGGGGACAGCGCTGGCCCGCTCACGGCATTGCGTAAGAGTGGAATTGCTCCACGCTGGTGACCACCAGGATGGGGACGGCGTCACAGCATTGGAACATGTCAAGAATGTATTTAGCGGCGATATGCTCCGTGCACTCCTCCGCGATCACTGCATTGAGGAATGACAGGGGGGACTGTTCCGGCCACGCTCGTTTCTCTGAGCGAAGGGCCGCGTACACCGCCTGCATAAAAGCGCCGCGTCGTGACCGGAGAGGCTCAGCGCGACACAACATCAACACGTGTGCCTCGTCCTCGACCATGTTTCGTCCTCGGCAGAATCTGCAGATTCGCCATTCGCGAGGAACTGGTGGGGACCGTCGTCGCAGACGTTCTACTGCAAAAGGGTGGTCCGAGGCGAAGAGCCTGCATACCGCTTTTCGGGCGTCTCGGGCGTCCAGTGCGAGGTACTTGCGACGCACGAGGACACCGCTGGCCTTCGGGCGCGCACGCAGCACACATAGCCGTTGCGATGCATGAACTTTGCGTGTGAGGTAAGTCCGCAGGGACGCCAGCATTTCTTCAGCACATTTCTTGACAACATCCGAAGTCAGGGCTTCCGACAACGCGAAGTCGACTGGGACTGGCAGCTGTTGCAAAGCATACCGGAGGTCTCCGAGCCATGAAGCAGTACCACTCAAAGCCATTCGGCGAGTCTCGGCCAGCGCTGCCAGGGGGAGGACTGGCCGCTTTGTTACCACATAAAGGGGGGTCCCGGATTTGGTACCCCGTGTGAATCGGGACTTAGAGAAATTGCACAACACGCTCTCAGAGGAACGAGGTGATCGCTTGGTGGATGCGGCGGACGACTCTTCGTCCATGTAGCACGGCACCATTGCCCTCCGTATTACTAGTCAAAAAATATATCTACATCCTCCTCATTGTCTAGCGAGGTAAATTGCTGCGGCTGCAGCCATTCTGCAACCAGTTCGAGTTCGTCCATGCCCTCCGAATCATCGCCTTCGAATGCGGTTTCGTCTGCAACCTGCGCCTCTGCAGGGCTATCGGTGCCGCTAATACCCATGGATTGTGAGACAGTGGCTATTGAACTGCGAGCAGGGCCATCCGGCGCTTCGCTTCGTGTCGTTGCGGGTGCAGTTGTGGTTGCGGGAGTCGCACTGATCAGTGGTACTGTGCGACGCCGGCGGTCTTTGAGCAATCGAAACATCTTGTTGTACTCTGCCAGCGGTCCCGCGAGCTGTAAAAGGCCAGCAGAAACAACATTAGGTATTCTTCCCTTATCTCCCTCGATGACTCGGCCGGGCTGAATCTCGTACACGCGAGCCTCTGCCAATGAGTGTCGAAGGGCTTCGATGTCCCGGGCGATGTTAGGTGTGGCGTGCTTCGTCCCTTGCCTCGAGCCCACGGCATCATTCATATTTGTCACCAGGCCCATGTCGACGATGTAACAACTCACCACTACTCAGGATATCCTGGCTTTGAAATACAAAATTATCCTCGCCTCACCAGAGATGCTGCAGTCGCGGACCTTCATCGACCGTATCCTTCGGAACTCGAAGTTCACACGCAACATCATCTCGCTTGTCGTTGACGAAGCGCACTGTGTGTCGCATAATCATTGGGGAGCGGATTTTCGGAAGAAATACGCGTCGCTGGGTGTCATCCGTGCGTTCTTGCCACGCGGAACACCTGTCATCGCTGTCACTGCGACCCTTACTGGACGTGTCCTCAGAGACATTCAGAGTAAACTCCACTTCCCAAAAGGAGGTAGTCGCTTCATCAACATGGGCAACGATCGCTCGAATGTTGCCCTCGTTGTCCGTGCCGCCGAACACCCGTTTGACACCTACCGGGACCTTGAATTCGTCATCCCGCAGTCAGCCAAACAAGCAAGTGACATACCAAAAACATGGATCTACGTGGACAACATCAATACGGGCACGGAGATCATCGGCTACCTCGTCAAGGAGGTCCGGAGCCGTACGTCCGCAGACCCCGACACCACCTTGTCAGCGGATATCATCCCGCCGTTCAGTGCGACACTCTCACCTGAATACCGCACGGCCGCAATGGCCGCATTCCGTGAGGGTTCCATTCGTATCATGATCTGCACCGAGGCTGCAGGCATGGTGAGTTAACATCCATCCACGAGAAGTACATCTCCGAGTCTTACCGTGGTCACAACAGGGCTGCGACATTCCCGACATTGACGTTGTCGTGCAGTGGAAGCTCCCGGTAACATTCTCGAATTTTGTTCAGCGTGCAGGTCGCGCAGCAAGGGGGCGAGGGCGGCATGGCCTCGCCGTCCTGATTGTTGAGCGCACTGCCTACTCTGCAGATCTATTAGCATCGCAGAGTACTGACGAGTCAGCGATGAACAATGCGAACAAGAAAGGAAAGACCTTGGCAGTACGCGGACGCAAGCGCAAAACTGGCCCACAAGTCAAAGCCGGCAAGGATTACGCGGACTTGCACGGTGTGAACCGAGGTAGCTCGTCTAGGAAGGACGCATCTCCGCAAGGCAAGCAGCCTCCGCTCGATCCCGAGTCTCTTGACGAAGGCCTGCACACGTTTGTGCAGAGTACTCACTGTAGACGGCGTGTCTGGGCCGAGGTTTTCGAGAGCCCATACAAACGTGAGTAGCCTCCACGGCCCAGTCCTTCAGCTCACATAAATGGGTCCAGTGGCTTCCGGTCCTTGCTGCGACATATGCGACACGACTCTGTTCGATCGCACACGTCTGACTGCTGCGACAAAGGCTGCGAAGGCTGGAAGAATGCCTCGAGGCCTGCCTGATGTCAAGACCCAGCTCAGCCTGTACGAATGGCGAGACAGAATCTTTACTCGCGATCATGCGAAGGCGCAGTACGACTCGACGTCCATTTTGGACGATGCGACGGTTGAACGCCTGGCATCCGCCGGCTCTTTGCCGCGCGACACCCTCACGGCGATCCTCAAGTCGACCTGGATATGGTGGGACAAGTATGGGACGGAGCTAATGTCCCATATGGAATCGCTTGACGTCGTGTTTACGCCGCCGCCGAACAAGTCCAAGGCAGGGCAGACGACGACATCACTATCTTCAGCCTCAGCGGAGATGCCGCTAGCTGCACCTCCAACGGACGCCTCCACCGCCCACGCACAGCTTGCGTCCGCTGCGAGTGGCTCGACTTCTACGCCCTCATCTGCGCAGAAGCGCGCTTCCTGCGACGACCTCGACGTGCCCAGCGCAGACACCACGCACACAGACGGCATCAGCATCCCGCCACGACCGACCAAGCGGCCGCGTAAGACGGCTGCGTCGACCGCGTCGACTGCATCCGTGGTCCCAGTCGTAGCATCACTTGCTGACTCGCAAGGGACATCCATCTCTCCTCACTCTGTCGCACTCGACGATCGTCACGCACCTGCGGGCCCTCGATGCACCTCCACTGCTACCACGCCATCCACATCTACTCAGGTACCAATTTCCCACTGCGAGGTCTCCGTTCAGTTTGACCGCGCTCAAGCGGCGGTGCCGCGCGTGGGTGACTCGGACGGCCATCGCTTTGCGGGAGCCACGGGAGACAGTGCTGACACAACGGATTCTCGATCATACGACTCCTTCTGGGGTTCCTTCAACTGGATGTCCAAGCGGTTAGATCACAATCGTAGGTCTGGCGAGGGTACATAGATAGCTCCAGTGGGTACAAGCAGCGAATGCGACTCCGATTGTACATTTGTATCAGTACATATTTGCTTACATGCTCCGAGTCCTGACTGATGGTATGGAGCAAGAGGGCAGAGAGACAGGAAATAGAGCTGGTTGCCAGAGAACGAGCTCAAAGTGAAGCTCTTGTGAAGTACCGAAGGCCGTCCTCGCGCTCCCAAAGACGATGCGCGCGATTTCTCTAAGTCCCGATTCCAGCCAAACGCATAACGATAGACGTTTCGCCTCCTCCGAAGTGATGTCTCCGGCCGAGGTGCCGGGGCTGCCGCGCCACAACAGCCACCCGGAGATCCCTCGGGGATCGGTGGTAGGTGGCTGGACGTAGTCTCGGAACCAGCCGTTCTAGAGGCACGTGCACACGTCAGCGGAGATCGAAAAAGAAAAACCAGAAGTGCCTCTCGAACGTCTGGTCGTTCTCGTAGAGAGGGGGGGTCTCACTCGATCCCGTGACGAAACGCGCCGCGCGAGAGGCGCACGGTGCATGCACGCAGCGACGCTGCTTGCTCAGATACGTCGCATCATCCGTACCCTCCGTCCTTCATCTACCATGCCTCCTAAAACGACCAAGCCTACAACGGCGATGCCTCCTAAAACGACCAAGCTCACAACGGCGACACCTCCGCGGCTTCACGTTCGAGGAATCACGCAGGCCTTCACCGAGGTGCTCGCCATCACTCGCGCCGCCGCCCACAAATCTCGCGGCTACGACTCCGAGGCGGCACGCCAATATATCCGTGAGAAGTTCATCGAGGCGAATGCAGATGGGATGACTCCGTATGACTGGCAGGTCGACGTCACAGAAGCGACGAAACTCGGGTTAGACTGCATAGTTATCGCAGGGACTGGCGCGGGGTGCGAGCGTGAGTAGCATATCATTGTGATCATCATAAGCACAGTCTAGATGAAATGTGTGAGTGCAGCTCAGTCAGCTCATGCGCAACATACAGAGTTCGGGTTTTTCATGGTGTTTCGCTTTTCCTGAACAGCGCTGTAGTACTGTACGAAACACCGCGGGATCTTCATTCTGAGCACGAGATGATGACATGGAGCAGTAGAAATAAATTCTAAGCAGAATAACAGGGCAGGAAGTGTACGCTGTGCACGGTAAGTAAAACGACGCGTAGGCATCGCACTGCATGTATGCGCCTCTGCGGCCTCTCGCGCGACGCGTCTGGTCACGGGGTCGAGTGAGACCCCCCCGTCTCTACATACGAGGACGACCAGACGTTCTGGAGGTGTTTCTTGTCTGTGTTTTTCGATCTCCGCTCACCTCCGAACGGCTGGTTCCGAGACTAGCTGGACGACTCTGGACCCCCGTCTCGCGGTAGCCGTTGTGGCGCGGCACCCCGGCACCTCGGCCGGAGACATCACCTTCGCCGAAGACGAAACGTCTACAGTAATGTACCGGTCCTTGAAACACTCAAATCTTTCTCGGCCCACCACATCCGTTGAACGTGTCATACCCAAGATCGGACCACATATACGTTTTGTATCACTCTGTATGAGTATATAAATTATTCTACATTCTTATCCATGCAGAGGCTCTGTGACAGCACGGAGATCAGTTCAAAATTCTCTTATCGGTGGCGGGACCAGTCCTTGAAACACCTGCCTAAAATGGCAACTTTTGTGAGTGCATGTCAATGCTTCGGCAGCTATGCAGTCATATTCATCGCAAATAATACTGCTCAGTCGGGCCAGTGAAGACGAAGGAATGTATAGTGATTGCTCTGAACTTCCTGGTGATAGCTCACAATCGCCAGTGCAAGGGATTTCGTACAACGTCTGGTTGATATAAGCGCCGCTTACCATATCGGGCAACAGAATGTCGTGAAACACGAGTTTCGGGTTTCTCGACACACTGTATGGGCTTCTGTGCTCGTACCATTGAACTGAATATCTAGGAGATGTAATAAAGTGTCATTTTATTTATCATGATTTTTTGGGGCCTCAGAGGTTCAGTGAAAATGAGTGAAGTCGATTTTTTTCAAGGACCCGTAGCGTTTCAAGGACCGGTACATTACTGTATCGATATGCGTTTGGCTGTCACACGGGGTACCAAATCTGGGACCCCCTAAGCGCGCGCCCAGTTGTACCAGCCGTTCTTCGAACGCTCATCGGAGTTCGAAACGCTGGTCGCAAGCCTACATTTCTGTCATCTCCCAGTGTTGCTAGAGCCTGGGAGACGAGAGTTCTCCCGTAGCTGATACTAGCCCAGGAATTATTGTCGTAACCACGTAGCACCGGAGAGATCAGCTCAGCCTGCCAGTCATCCGGTTCAAAAGTCAAGCTGAATGTGCTCTTGATGTCACCCTTGACTCTCGCTGTTGCATACTTCGCCCGTCATCGCCGAGTGCCTTGTGTACTTCTCTTTGAGGGCAGCTTGCGACGGCGTCGGGCTTTAGGGCTCCTCGTAGCCCCGGGCCTCCCGAGTGCAGGAGTACGGCGAGAAGGTGTCCTCTGTAGTTCGGGCATGAGAGTCTTGATATACCCGCCAGGGAGAGTAAGAACACGTCGAGTTGCATCTAGCACGCGCGCTGACGCGATCTCGTGGATCTGAAGCATTAGTAGCGGAGCATCCACACGATGCATATGCCCATCCTGGGCTCGCCAAAGAGATGGAGAATGTTCTCATGAATTGCATTCCTGAGAGTCTTTGAATACTCTGACTGCGGGGTGCGACATAGTGAATATACTACACAAAATGGAGATTTGGCCCTTCGAAGCCATTCCTAAAGAGCGCAAAATCCATGGAACATTGTGATTACGCTACAGGCAATCAGGAGTACTTCAAAAGTACCTTTGCCTTACCGAAAGTGAGGCAAAAAAGCTATACATGAGAAGTTAAGGCCCCGAATTGAGCCCAAGGATCACAGTCACCTTTGAGCAAGCCCTGTGACGGGCGTGCCAGGTGACGGGCGTGCCAGGTGACGGGCGTGCCAGATACCGGCCGGGTCGAGTGTCGAAGCGAGGGCGAGATCAAGCGGACGGACGAGCGAGAGAGCGAGAGACGAGGACGCGAGCCCGAACACTGGTGTTGGCAAGACGAGAGACGTACAATGGGGCGAGTGAGCTATCAAAGGAATCGTGGGTGTCGCCGGAGAACCAGGTACAGTCGATGAACGACTCAGAGCGACCCTGACAGGAACCAGGATACATGCCAAAACAGGAAACCGGGAATGTTGTGGCTACGAAGTCCGTGGCGCATCGTATTGCGCTGTACAAGAAACCATGCGCTACCGTTACCCGCTAGTCCGTGGATGAAGGTCCCGCGCCACACGCCTCAGCCACCTCGCGTCTCGCGGCCGTCGCCTTCACGCAACGCTCATACCTCGATCAAAACTCATCGTATGGCCTTGGCGACCTCATTTTCGGTATCTACGCGTCAAATTCAACTCAGGCACGGTGTCAGAAACGCTCAATTGACAGGCAGCTGCGCGCAAGACCTCACGAGAGTCCGGACGAGTCGGCGAACACCCGCATGTAGCGTAAACGGCGTGTGCGTGTCACACATCGTGTGTCGGGAGGCTAGAGGGAGGGTGCTATAAGTGATTGATTTAGCCAGGGTTGAAGCTGGTTGTATAGTGAGTCTTCAATGCTAGTGCTGTTGTCCTTTCGTCCTTCTGTACTCGCGCGAGCAGTCCCGGGCTGGTTCGCCACATTATAAGTTACGTCGCACACTATATTCGATCTTCAATACATGTACGACTGTTCATATAAATACTACGTCCGACGCCTACTCGTAGGAGGTCCATCTGAGCCGATATAATGGTGTTCATGACTGTTGGGTATAATCTCACGTAGGCATTGACATGTTACATCTAAAAACCAAATGGTATTCTACACTGTACGCAATATTTCATGAGTGGATAAATGGTCTGCCAATGCACCAGTACCAAGGCCTGGAGCCCAAATTCATGACAATTGACAATTGCACAGTATGTACACTGTATGGTGCCCCCGAGTGATGAACCGACTACAATGGTCTTAACTCCTGAGCCTGAGCTCTTCGTGTCTGAGACATACCATAATTCAGTCACTCTACAGCCTCCCCTGGTCTCCTGGCTCGTGATGTATATACTATGGCACTCACACGTTCACGCTACGTGCGGGTGTTCGCCGACTCGTCCGGACTCTCATGAGGTCTTGCGCGCAGCTGCCTGTCAATTGAGCGTTTCTGACACCGTGCCTGAGTTGAATTTGACGCGTAGATACCGAAAATGAGGTCGCCAAGGCCATGCGATGAGTTTTGAGCGAGGTATGAGCGTTGCGTGAAGGCGACGGCCGCGAGACGTGAGGTGGCTGAGGCGTGTGGCGCGGGACCTTCATCCACGGACTAGCGGGTAACGGTAATGCGCATGCTAACGTGCTCTACAAGACCGTGGTGCATTGTATCGCACCGGTAAGTGATCATGTGTAACTGTGTGGCCGTTACACCACCTTCTCTTCAAGGGGAAGCCGTGACGCGACCTTCAGAGGTTGAGCCGTTGCGGCGGTCTCAAGACACGGCCGGAACTGGTCGTGGTCTGTGTGGGCGGCACATGACAACCACGGGGATCCTCGGAGGGCGCAGGGGGCGGACTCGGAGGACGTGGGTGTTGGAACACATGGTCAGGGACGAGCTCGCAAGCTCGGCCGCGATAGTACCTCGCCGAGAGGAGATAGGGGGAGGGTATATAATGAGGGAAAATTCGTGTATCTACCTCATGCGATTGCCCAGCGATTGCCCTTCGGGCATCGTCCGCGCCCGTGACACTCGCGCTCGCGTTGTCCCCGTTCCGCTTGTTCTCACAGTGGGGCAGCGGCAGGCACAGAGGGAGAAGCAGAGGTAACGGCAACGGAGGCAGCGGGCAGGACGGGAACGGGAACGGGCGCGGGCACGGACGTTTTGAGGTGGGCACGGAGACGGATTCGAGGGCGGACGCGCACGGGGCCTGTGGAGCAGGTTATATCAGTAGCAGCAGGAATGGATGCGGTTTTATCGAGGATGAGTCGGTGAGGGTGAATGGCGCGAGGGTGACTATGATGGAAGCGTTCGAGGAGCTCGCTGGACGTGGTGGGAATGCGGGTAAGTGGAATTCATGAGTCTTCCTCGGGGGAGAGACCCTTCCAGCGCATGAGGTACTCGTAACGCTGACCGAGCTTGCGAGAGTCGAGGATGTCGGAGATGTCAGGGGAGGGATCGAGGCTTGAACTGTCGAGAACGAGAAGATCGGGGTCGGCGTGAGGGTGGAAGTCGGATGGGTCATAGTAGCGTTCGAGAAGGGAAACATGAAAGATGGTGTGAAGGCGAGAAATGTAGGAAGGAAGACAAAATTGGTATGCTGAGGCGTGATCAACAGGGAAGGAGCCGAGACGGCAATGGTCGAGCTTTTCTGACGGCTGAGTGGACTTGATGTGACGACGCAGTAACCAGACGAGCTGGTCCGGCTTGTACGTCGGGCTGTTGAGGACGTGCGCGTTGTATGCGCGAGCTTGGAGGTCTTGAGCCTCCTTCAACTCGGCACGGAGCTCGTCGTGGAGACACTCCAAGCGCTGAGCGAGGTCGGTGGCGGCGGGGGCAGTGGTGCGATCCGAGAGCTGAGGTTCGAAGGAAGGGTGGAAGCAGTAGTTGGCGAAGAAGGGTGACTGGTTGGTGGACGCGTCCACGTTGTTATTGAACACTAAATTGGCGAGTGGCAGGTAATCGACCCAGTCGTCTTGTTGATACGACGTGTACGTGCGGAGGTACATCTCGAGCGTCTGTTTGGTATGCTTGGTCAGTCCGTCCGTTTGCGGGTGATATGCTGTTGACGTCCTGTGATCAATCTTCAAAAGAGTGGTGAGTTCTTTCCAAACATGCGATATGAAACG